CGATCGCCCCCCTCCCCCTTATACCGCGCATGACCGGGTACCAGGTTTACGTCCATTACGGGCGAATATAGAAGTCAAACCCGCAAGACAGCGACGTCCGGTCTCTGTACAACCTATACGTTTCGATAAACAACTTCATTTTCATGACCATGGGCTAGTATCGTAGTTAGCAGATATTGCTAACGTTAAGTTAGCGCCTAGTGCCTGCGCAGCCGCCACAGGGTGCCCACCTGCCCTGCCCACTCGGTGCCGGCCGAGCCCCGAGCCCACAACTCTCACTCACGACCGGCGAGCGCGCGACCGTCGTGGAGCGTTGATGGGCGCGGCAATTAAAATGTTTGGCGTTTGGCGCCACCACTAATTGTGCGTGAACAGGCAGGTGATAGCCACAACGCCGCCGGCTGTTGGGCGGGGGCGTAACCCCCCTCCCCCCTCCCGGCGCCAAGCCACACACGGGCAGTTTTACGCGCACGAGATTGCCAGCCAGGTGGTGGACGCGCGGCCGGGGTGATTCAGAGACCACCGCAAACCGGGGTGCACAAACACGCCTCCCAGGGGGTATCTTTATTTTCTTCATATTTTTTTATTTTTCCACCCACCCACCGCGCTGGCGACGGGCAGGCACGCCGGCCCCTGCCGATAAGTAGAGGTGCGACACAATAATCGCTCGTTTGTGGTCGTTAACTCAACAAGAGACAGTCCCCGCCCGTCCCGCCCTCCCATTTTGGCGCAGTCCGTGACCTCTGACCTGCTGGTATTGGTCGATGTACAGGCAAAGACGAACGCGGTGCAGTTGCACCAGGCGCGGCGGCGGCGGCGTGCTGCAGGCGTCGCAGGGCAGGCGGGGTCTTCGACGACCCGTTCCTTAACTATTCGTGGAAGGCTTGTCGCACTGTCGCGGCTGCAACCGGTCAGTCACCTGGCCGAGCTCTCGCTCTCTCTCTCTCTCTCTCTCTCTGTCTGCCGCGCGGGGCCGCGGGGCCCCTCGGCCCGGCCCGGCGCCGCCCACGCGCCTCCGTTGCATCACTGGAGGCGAGCCGGAGGGAGAGGGAGAGGGGTCGTTGTCGCGGGCCTCCGCCTGGCCTCCGCCCACCAGAATGAGAGCGGTCAGGTGGAGGGGCGCGGAGGGGCCGGAATGCAGCAGACACGCGCCAGCCTGCGCCAGCCTGCGCCGGCCCGCGGGGTTGTGTCGTGCGCGGTCGTGCGGTGGGTGGGCCGGGCCGGGCGGTGAACGCGTCAGGTCCTGTGAGTCACGCGCCCGCTGCGCCCGGCCCGCGCAGGTGAGCGGCCAGAGTCTCCCACACGGGCGGCGGGGCGGAGCCATGGCGGGGCGCGCCTCCCCCTATCCTGGCCAGGCGTGCTGCGACTTGCACGATCCTCGTTGTGGCGGGGTCCCATTCTCGTCTCGTCGCCTCTCCGCCATCGCCATCTCAATGGGCGGCGCACGGCCCGCACACCCTCGGCGAGGTTCGAACCCGACCACAGCAGCCCACGCGAGTGATAAGGCCTCGCCCACGCCCGCGGCCCGGGCCTCACTCCAGAGGACGCGCTTGACGACGATTTCTCCTCGGAATCTTCTAGGGCCGGGTCGCATAAAGTCGAAGCCGGTACCCAAACTGGGCGCCCGGCCAGAAGGAGCTCCGGTCATTGCCGCGCGGTGCATGGAAAGTAGGCCGGCCTCTTCCAGGAGGACTCCTTCGCTCGGCACCGTGACGGCTTTCACCGCCGCGCCATGCCGGGCTCCAGTCCAGGACGACCCTTCCTGACACTCATTACATGCGAAGGGCGAGTCCCTCCCCCTCCCGTGCAACGACGAACGCGTAGGAGATCTAGAACAGCTGGGCACAGGCCGTGCAGGAGGAGAGCGGAGAGCGCCGGGACAGTGCGTACTGTTCTGATTCTCCAGCGCGGCCATGCCAGCTGACTCCAGGTCCGCGGACTGTACCACACTTTACTACCACTGTACAGTGGCAGTCACCCTGGTCGGGTGGAGGCACAGCGACGCCGATTGACGTCACGATCTATGTGCACGAAAATAATTTTTAGCAATACGTCGTTATTGTCCGATCGTTACGCCGCGCCGACACCCGGCCCGATACCAATGACCACTTCCTGCAAGCTGGAAGGCCAGGGGTTGGGGGGGGGGGCTGAGTCCTTCTAGTCTGTGTGAGTACAGCCGTCAAGACCATGGGCCGACCGTCGTGGACAGTCAAGGACTGCAAGTTCAAGTTTGCGGCCGCGAGTTCACCAGAGCGTGACCAACCTTGGCAATAGTGCTACACTGGCGAGCTCAACAGAGCCTCCTCTCCGCGGCCGGGGCCTGTGGCCGGGGCGTGTGCAGTGCTTTACGGACCCTCCCCAGGAGACCTGGACCTCGGGCACCCACCTGGGGGTGACAGGCCAGGCCGTGGGGGCGACGGGGAGAGGGAGGCAAGGGAAGCAGGGGAGCTGGCGCTCGCTCGGCACTCGGCTCGGCGGTGGCCGGGAGGGCGGTAGCTCACGTCAGGCTCGCGCCTACCTGTCACGTCGCCAGCCTCTCCTCGCAGAGCACCGGGGATTATCTCCCAGACAACATGGCTGGCCTGTCGCCCACCGGGCTCCTCGTCCACAGGCCTGGTGGTAGGCAGTGTCCGAGGGGGGCAGCAGTGGGCACGCACAGGCACTGCTTCACGGGCTGCAGGCGGCCGCCGATCTAACACGTCTCGGTCCAACTCACCAGGATGAGAAGAGCAACGCTAACGGGGAGCGCCGTGGCGATCTTCATGCTGACTGCTCAGGAGCAGGCTGTACGGCGAGGCCCACGCAAAAAAAATCCTTCACGTTAAAGATGACTCGTTCGCTGCGCCGCAACACCTTCGCATCTTCCCCGGAAGCAGCAGTAGACGCGTGACCACGGCCGCAATGGTGGTGACAACAGCAGTAGCAGCAGCAACAACAACAACACGCTTAGCAGACGACAAAACACAACCTGGCGAACGGAATTCGAGGCGCCTATGGCCTAAACCAGTCTGCAGCGCGGGTAGCGCGGTCTCGTGTGGGTCACCTCCGCTCCCCGTGACGGCCGGCGCTCAACTGGCTAACCACTCACTCCTCACTCCAGCGCGGAGGAGGCCCAGCGGCAGCAGTTGCGGCCCGGCCCGTCCCCGCTAGAGCCCCGGAGCCCCGTGGCCGAGGCCGATGGCACCACGGGCGCCGGCCGGCCGGCCAGGCCTACACGTTATGACCTCGGCCGGCCCGTCGAGCTCCACCGCCCCCCCCCCTCTTCCTCCCCTTCCCAGCTCCCGCGTCGCGGCGCGGTCATACAGCCGACCACAGCTCATCGGATGCCTCGCGTAGAGAAGAGACAGCGTTTTAAATCCATATCATACTAGCACGAAATGGCCGCGGTGCCTAGATTGTGCGGATTGAGATGAGCCGCCTGAAAGATAGGCACTCTACTCCACAAACCCCTTGTAGATAGGCAAATCTCTGTGCATTGACCTCTCTACCAGCCGGCAGGGACCCCAGCGCACAGCAGCGCGATTAGAGAGCTCACTCGCTCGCTCACTTAGCGCTTAAAATCCCTTGTAACTGTTTGGGAATGTTGAAAATGAACAAAACTGTAAAGTGTGAAGAAATAATGAAAATCTTAATCGTGTTGGGGCGCAGGATATGGGCGTGCCCCGAGTTATGGGGAGGTCCAATTCGCTATAAACAAACAGTCAACCCCTTTCTAAAAAAAAAAAAAAGTTTAGAATGTCTATCGTTGTAAAGCGGGACAATAAGGAATCGAGAGGAATTGGACTGAAAGGGTAGAATTATCGGACCCTCGATAGGGAATTCCCACCCTTATCCCCAGATTACACCTTTTTTAAAGAAAAAGAACCCACATGGTTAGTCATTTTTTCCTGTTTGAGGTGTTTGTGGTTTGCGTCATGTTCTTTTTGGATAGTTACACAGACGAAAGAAAAGTTTTATCACAGTACGCGCAAGGATGTGTGCTACAATCATGCAAATATCAAGTCAAGGAGTTTTTTTATTCGAAAAGCAAGTGGTACTCATTCTTCCGCTGAATAGTTTCCGACTTCTAATTACTTTGCATTACACCAGCCACCGTTTGCTTGCCCCGCAACCCGCAGTGATTTAAATGAGTTTCGGTCGCGGGAGCAGCAGACGACGAGAACAAATGACTGTGTGTTTGCATTCGGAACGCGTCCTATGTGGCTTTTCTGGTTCTGAAAACTAACATGAAACCATTATGGAACCTTCACCCCTTTAAGAAACCATTATCGGTAGTTACGTCTATCTTGTATCGTACATTACCCCTCCTTCCCCCCCAATGAAACTGCAAATCTACCGGACGAACGACTGCGGGAGCGCAGCCCTATGCGGCAGCTGACGTCATTTGCCGAGGCCGCGACCGAGACGAAGACGAAATGAACAGTCGCGGAAATGCTTGACTCAAGATGGCAGCGTACCTGCAGATGTTTTTATTTATATTTAAATCAAAATACAGACGAAAATGGGACCTTGGACAAACCATTGTGTGTCTATGTTTAGTTCTTTCTTGTTCTTTTTGTGTGCAATGCAAATTTAACTGCAGTGATGTACAATGTATAAATGGGGAGTGTGTGAATGGTACCTGTGTCTGCAACGAAGGATGGCAAGGGTCTGCTTGTCAGTTTTGCGGTGGGAAAGTAAGGTAATTATGTGATTTTCGTCCTATAACATGTCATCAAGTATTTAAATCATATTATATTTGCTTTATTTGATGCTTTAGTCGGACTAGCCACCTCCGTCCATTCAAAATACGTCGAAAATGAATGATGTTTAGGTTATATTGTGAGATAGCAGCCAGTAACTATTGACATTTTGTGATGGGTATTCCTTGGCATTAATGATTCAAAAGTGCCAACAGCACATTTTCAGTATTGCCTGTTGATTTCTTAACTTAATTTTTGAATGAAACTGACTTTGGTCTCTTCATTTCATTAATTTTTGTATTGTGGGTTTTAAGAGAGAAGTGGTTATGTTACTCTGAGAGACCTACTTTCAGATCAACTGCCTTGGTTGACTGGATCCATTGCTTTACTTAATTTAATCATATTCTTTCAATATGCTGCCTTTGCCTAAGAAACTAAACTCCTATTTAGATCTTATGTAAATTGTATCGCATGTTGGTACCTGATATTGTTGTAATAATTGGAGATAATTTTGAATTGAATTTATTTTGTAGTGTGCAATTTTCTTCTTGAGCTATTATGTTTTGAATCATACCCATTGTAAATCTACTCTTGTATATCATTAGAATTTTATTTAAACAATTTTTATTATATAATAAATCTAGGCTTTCAATCCGACACAAAAGTGTGTCATACTCATAAGACCTTTCCTTTGTCTTGTTGTCTAGTTTGGTCAAAGTCACTGGGTTTTATACAAATTTTAATTCAGTGTGTATTTTTGTGTAGACTGTCAGACCCCCAGGGAACTATTCATGATGGATATGGAAATTATTCCATTGATGTCAAGTGCAGCTGGCTGGTGGACAGTGGCACCCCAAACACTTCTATCCATCTGCATCTTGAAGAGTTTGCCACAGAATGTGGTTGGGATCATCTTTATATATTTGATGGTGATAGTGTTCATTCACCTCTCTTAGGTGTCTTTAGGTAAGTACAATCTATCTTTAAATACAAAGTTCAAAAGTGGATTTTTCTAATGTTTGCTGTTTGTTATTTAATTATTTTTTGTTGCTGTTGTTTATTAGTGGACTGATGTATAAAGGCAATTATAGTGTGAGGCGCATACCAGAAATTGTAGCTCATTCGGGTTCTGCCCTCATCCACTTTTACAGTGATGTAGCCTATAATATGACAGGATTTAACATCACTTACAGGTTTGTGAATATTTTAATAAATTTCTATGGAGTGTCGTATCATATTCATAACATGATTTTGTTTATCCATTCTAGGTTCAATTCCTGTCCCAGTCGATATTCTCATACAAACTGTTCGGGACACGGTGTGTGCATTGATGGCGCTTGCCTATGTGATGCTCTATACATGGGCCCAGCTTGTGATGTTCCAAAGTGTCCAAATAATTGCAGTGGCAATGACCACGGTTACTGCAACCTTGAAAGGCGTCAATGTGAATGCTACGGAAGGTTCAGAGGTAATTTATTTGAAAACTTTGCAGCAAACGTAAACAGCATTGAAATTACATTTTCCCTTTCTGCAGGTGATGATTGCAGCCAAATAGCAGATCAGGGGTATTGGGAAGTGCTGCATCCAAAGGATATACAGCCTGAGGGGTCTGCTTCTCACTGTGCTGTAGTGTGGAAAGATTCACTGTACATAGTTGGTGGAGAATCTTATCACAGAGCAAAAATGTTGTATACTTATGATTTTAATGGTAAAAATATATGGTTTGGCTTTCAAGCTTCTTTTTTTAAAATTGAATATGTATTGTTTTATGGGAGATTTGGTGAACATTAAAATCACTCATATTTCTAAAATTTTAGGCGAAGTGTGGGAAACCCCTCAGATGGAGTACAAAAATGCACCTCGTCCTCGCTACGGGCACTCTTGTGTGATGTTTGGGGTAAGTCCTCTTTTTTGTTGCATATAGTTAACAATTTGTCCTTGTTTTACAGTTGTGATTAGCATTTTTTTCTACTGACATTTAACCCGATTGGTTCAAACTTAAACGCTTTTTTATGACAGCCTTACTCCTAATGCAAAGGTTTCTGCAGAGCACTTTCCCTCTTAATCTGTCCCCTTGACTTCCTCTTGGAATTCCCTGTAAAAGTGGCTTGCTCCCTTTGTCTTGCTCTGCCTAGCCAATGAAAGCTCTCATTAGATAGAAAAAGCACTTCATACTTGACTCCATTTATTTTTCCCCCTGATCACAACAGTGTAAGTTCACTTTCATAAACTGAAGTATTACATTTTTGCTTTGTTTTTTCCCCCTTAGGACAAAGTGTTTATGTATGGTGGTGTTGAAGTAACCGGTGAAGTTTCATCAGAACTATGGGCCTTTGATGTCAATGCGAAGACGTGGGAAAATATCACAGTAGATTCAGATCCCTGCAACATCACAGGCAACAGTAGCCTTCCCTGTGGTATGACTGAGAAGTTCCGAACAATATGATTTCTGAAATCCATCTTGTTTTGACTTTTTAGATACAAGTACAAGTAAGTATCTTTTAATGATTTTTTTTTTTAATTTCAGGCCCTTTACAGTCAGCAGGCCACACTGCAACTCTTGTTAATAAATCTCAGAGATCTGATCGAATGGTTGTCATATTTGGCCATTCTCCGAGATATGGGCATCTTCACACTGTACAAGAATTTGTATTTGGTAAGAAAGCTTGTAATAATAATTTTTTTAAAATATTTTTTCATGCAAAGGAAGTGTAGGATTTCATTTATTCCAAATGATTTGTTTACTTTGTTCATCCAGGCACAAGAGAATGGAGCGTTGTGAAAACTCGGGGCTATCCGGTTCGAGGAGGTTACGGCCACTCTAGTTCTTTAGATCACCTCACTCAACTAATTTATGTTTATGGTGGTTTTATCTTTGAAAATTCTCTCATTTTGAGTAACAGATTGTACTCTTATGACCCCAATAGTAGAGTGTGGTAGGTTTTCAGATCCCAGTTTTCTATCAATCCATTTTGTGGGAGGAATTATTTTCTTTCTGATGTCTTATGTTCTATTTTAGGCGACTTCTGATGGCTGCACCTTCTGGACGCTTCCTCCACACAGCTTCATTTTTATCAGGAGGTTTAATGCTGGTATTTGGTGGCAACACACATAATGATACTGCTCACAGTCATGGGGCTAAATGCTATTCCTCAGATCTTTTGGCTTATGATGTATTATGTGATTCATGGGTGTCCTTGCCACTGCCCTCACATGGTTTGTCGCAAGCTGATCTTGCCCGGTTTGGTCATTCTGCTGTAATTTTTGGGGGAGCTCTTTATATTTATGGTGGCTTTGACGGTCAGATGTTGTCTGATATATTAAGGTTAGTTAGACTTCTTTAATTAAACATCAATCTATCATGTACTGAAATCATTTTTAAACACAATTTATTATTTTTTTTGTCTAGGTTTACTCCAGGTATATGTAGTAGTCAAAATACAAAAGACGCTTGCGTGAACCTTCGAACAGGCGTTAAATGTGTGTGGAATCAAAGAGATCAAAACTGTGTGAATGCCTCTACTGCTTTCAATAACAGGCCGCTGGTATTGCATTCAGATGGACGTGATGAAGAAGAACATGACAATGGATTCAGGTTGTTAATGCTCCTATACTGTTTTTCCCTTGCAAGTTTATTGAACTTTCCAAGTCTTATTCAATACTTTTTCTAAATCTTCAGTATTTGCCCCGATGGCGGGAGAGCTGCTAAATCAGCTGCAGCCCAAATGCATAAAGAGTTTTGCAAGACTTACTCAGATTGTGCATCTTGTGTCCAAACATCTTACTCATGTGACTGGTGTCAAGGTCAAAGCACGTGTAGCTACCGAGGAGAGGGCTGCAACAATTCTCATCCTGTAAACAGCAACAACATAGAATACAGCACTAGTGTGCTGGAGGTGAGTTCTATATCGTACTTGACAGTTGAATAAATGGCACCTTCAAACAATATTTACCCTTTAAATTTTAAACAATTTTGCTTCCAGCCTGTCAGATCTCTTGACCGTTGTGAGCCTGAAGATTCATCTGTCTGTCCGCCTCCTCCTAACTCATGTCATCGTTGGGAGTATGAAGTTCATTGCAACAGCTCTGTTGATTCTCAGCAGGTAAGTGTGAGAGCATGGAAAGCTTATGATTTGGAGACTTACGGTACAATGTTTCTATTCACTTTGTCGCTGGGCGTATTTTTCTGTCAATTTCAATCTATTGTGTGTATTTTTTATTCAAGTCACAGCAAGAACTTTGTAAATGTGCTGACCTAAAGTCATGTTTTAACTGCACCCGTGAAGAGTGTATTTGGTGCCAAAATGAAGGTCGATGTATTGATAAAAATGCATACACAACTTCTTTCCCATATGGGCAGTGTCGTGAGTGGACAACACAGCAGGCTAGATGCAGATCGACGGTGTCAGGTGTGTAATGATGACCAGAAGTATTTTTAGTTTCTTTGCCTCAACAGCCTGAAAATCCACACTAAAAATGCTCATATTGATATTGTATTCTTTTCAGGTAAATCATCCTGTAGCTTTTATTTGACCTGTGCTGAATGTCGTGATGATCCTGCTTGTGGATGGTGTGATCATGGCTCTGGCACTGGATTGGGAACTTGTTTCCCTGGTGGCAATATGGGACCTGACCATGAGTATACATGTCCTGCTCGCAACTGGTATTTTACAGTCTGTCCTCGTAAGTTTTACGTTATGTGACCTTGTCAGCTACTTTTTATGAAATGAAGAACAACTACTAAATAAAACTCTGTTTATCTATCCACCACAGTTTGCCAATGTAATGGACACAGCACTTGTCAAGATAACACCTCATTATGCAATCAACCTTGTGGAAATATGACTCAAGGAGAAAAATGTGAACGCTGCATACCAGGTTATTATGGTATTGCAATAAATGGTGGATCCTGTGGACGTAAGTAAAACAAGCATCTTCAATTTCACCTACAGCAATAATTCCTGTGAACATTTCCGCAGTCGAGATGTCAATCAATTTTACGTTTACAGCTTGTGATTGCAATGACCAGGGAACCTTATGTAATCAAGAAAACGGGAAGTGTTTTTGTACAACAAAGGGGATTAGTGGAGATCATTGTGAGCGATGTGACACAGCAAATCATTACCATGGAGATCCCACTAACCACGGCTCATGCTTTTACGATCTTACTATCGACTATCAATTTACTTTTAATCTTTCTAAGAAAGAGGATAGACATTATACCCAAATTAACTTTAAAAACAGTCCTCCCAAACCAGATATTGACGCAGATTTTAGTATTACTTGCTCTGTCATGGCAAAAATGAACATAACAATCAAAACAGGTAATATGACTGAAATGTATAATCCTGGCTGACAGTTTTATCATATGCTTTGTGCTAACTGACTATTATCTTTTCTAGCAAAAGAAGGAGAGCGGCAAATATTGGTTGATCATAATTGTACCTCGTTCCGCACTCGTTTTACAAAGGCAGAACACAATTTTGGAATAGAGGAGAATGTGACCCTTACAACATTTTATGTTTATGTTTATGACTTTCACACCCCATTGTGGATTCAGATCTCATTTTCCCAGTATCCAAAACTCAACCTTCAACAGTTTTTCATCACTTTTTCTACGTAAGCCAATAAAGTATACATAGAAAGATGACGTTTTTTAGTGAGTTAATGTTTGTCTAATGTTAGATTATTTTTGGTCTGCTTGGCAGGTGCTTCCTTCTTTTACTCTTGGTAGCTGCAATTTTATGGAAAATCAAACAGAAATATGATATGTACAGAAGGCGCCAGGTATTGACTTCAGTTTTTCTTCCTTCTTTCTGTGATAATTTAATCCAGAGATTAGATATACCTTTGTATCTATCTACATATCTATGTTACCCTTTTCAGAGAATGTTTGCTGAAATGGAGCAAATGGCAAGTCGTCCTTTCTCCCAGGTGCTGGTAGAAATTGAAAGACGTGAAAGACTTCATGAGAATGCCAATACTGATGCAGATACTCAACATTCATCAGTTGCCTCATTAAGGAAAAGAAAGAAAATGTCGCGGCAGGTATGTTAAAATCAAAAATTTAGAAGGTACTCTGTTACGGTTTCTGCTTTGATTGAGTTATCTCTTGCTGAAAGAAGCCTTTATATATCCACACAATTGAACTAATAAACTCAGATGTAGAAGTAAGGATCACAAAATTTTTGTCCTCAATGAGTAAACCAATATTTTGTCAAATTACTAAATTACTCTATCTTTTACATAGTTGTTATATTCTCTATTTCAGGATTCACCTAGTCCTATAGCCCTGGAACCATGTTGTGGTAACAGAGCTGCTGTTCTTTCTTTGCTCATTCGCCTGCCAACAGGTGGTGAGATTTACACTCCTCCTGGACAATCTGGTAACTTGAAATTTATTAGTGCAAGTACAGTGGTGTTTGAACAGGTCTGATAAATATTTCTTTTTCTTTTTACTTCTTTTCAGCTGGTTTAGCAATAGCATCTGCCCTTGTAACCTTAGGAAATCCTCGTAAGGTTAGTGCTGATCCTGCCAATAAGTGTGACCAGAAGTCCTCCAAGTCACGAAAATCTGTTTCAAGCCAGCACCCTGATAGTTGCATATGATGGCTGCTCCCAGTCAAATAAATTATTTATTATTTTTTATACCTTCTTCAAGAGGTGAACTTTGTTTCCCTTGTGGAGATTTGTTGTGATCAAGAGTGTCATTGTACTGATAATGAGAAGGAACTGACTTGTAATGTATGTAGGTTAAATGCCCATTGTGAGAATTGTTTTGTTTTATATGTGTGTATGTCAAGAAAAGTGTGAATGTCTGAATGTGATAATTGTGTTTTTAGATGGTACCTAGTGTGTGTTTCTATGTTAGGGTATGTATGTATGTATGTATGTATGTATGTATCAATGTATGTAAGTATGATTGTGTTTTTGTATGTTTGCGGATGGATGATTAGTTATGCATGTGAACCAGTGTTTTCTTTCCATGTGTAAAGGCACACATTTATTCTGAGACTTAAGAGATTTTTTAAAATTATTATTTATGTAAGTTCTGAAGAAGCATTTGGTTTAAAAGTGTACCCATTCATGGGTAAAATAGTTGCAAGAAACCCCCCTTTTTTTTCTCAATAATTTTTAGGAGATGTCTGCAAGGGTATTAAACTGACAGCTTCATTTTCACCCAGAGAAATCAGGAGGAGCCTTTCATATGCCTGCTATTGTATGTAGCCTATGGGTATAAGTGCATGCAAATCAGGTTTTTTATAGCAAAAGTAATGAGGTAAATCTGGTTTCCTTTCAAACACCTTCACTGTGTCTTCCCATTATCTTTGAAATGAAACGCAATACTCTCTTTGAATTGCAGACCTACAAGACAGTTTCTGTCCATGAATGAGGAGAAGCAAAAGAAGGAACCCAATCATTATAGTTGTCTATTGTTGTTTGTCTGCATTCTCTTCCCATTATTACATGCAATCCACATAATGCACTCCTTGCAAAATATTCTATCTTAAAGTGAAGAAAAACTTGAGTATGCATCCTCTGAGTGCTGGCAGAGCAGAAAAATTGTTTGTCCTTTTCTGAATTTTTTCTGCTCAATCAATTATTACAAAGATGCCGTTTACTCAATTTCTGCTGCTTGACAGTAACTGTGACAAAAGATGAGATATTTTGCTCTCTTTCAATCCCTCTCCCTCTTAAAGTGATGGTTTAAGACTGAATTTATCTTTCAGAAAGACTTCTCTCCTCATAAGAACTTATGTAACTTTTCTCTCTGTACAAGAACCTTATTTATTTTATTTATTTTATTCAGAGTAGGTCACTGACATTTTACATACAGCCATGATCTGGTTCAAGAACTGCAGTAGATTTTTGAGTTGCTCTAATACAAATAAATATAACATTTATCCTTCATAAGCTATGTACTTCGATCTTTTTTACTGGGGACTCACATTAGAAAGCCATGGTAAAATTTTATATTTTCCTGAAGTAGCATTTGGAATAGCCCTTCTCCCTCCTCTCCCCTTTCTCTCTGAAACTACAGGATATATGTAAAACCGAGGACACCCATTGGCAAAGATATTGCCAATTTTATGTATTGCTGCTCAAAAGTCATACATTTCCTCTGGAAATATTGACACATCCCTGTATTATTAAATAGCATTCAAGTATTCATTATTTATGTTACCTTCAGGTTTAGGAAGTGCATATCAAATGATACATAAGCCTATGTAAGTATGTATTTATAAGGAATGTAAAATTTCAGCGTTGCTTTTGTAATCATTGTTTTTTAGTCATTGCCGTTTTTGTTGTACAGTATTTTCTTCCTCTATCTCATGATATTACTGTATCATACATTTATAATATGAAAGCACCCGTTCTGAAAGATGTTTAATACAGCTTGCTTTCAACTGTATTTAGTTCGCTTTGGAAAATTTTGTGGTAAAAATGGCCTGTCTAGTGTAATTGGTCTTCAATTCATCTGTATATTTATTATCAATACTTTTGAACTTGACAGGAACATGAATACTGCCAGTCTATTGTGCCTTGCCCTTAGGAATCTCACTCATGTCCTCTCTGACTTATGTCACTCAATACTGTAATCTCCCTTTTTTGAGTGCAATCTGTGATTTCTTATTACTTTCGTTGCAGCAAGCCTTATATCTGTAAATTTTGCTAATTTCAATTGTATTATTTACGATCTTGTGGTGGAATAAGACGTTTGTTATACTTTCTTACCCAATGTCAGGAAAGTGTTGTTTACCTGAAGCAAAGGAAGAGCTTGTAATTTAATTTGTTAATTTTAGCGCTGATAGTATTTTTAAATTTTGTTTCTCTCACCAGTCATTGGTTTGGTTTATTTTTGGCTTGGTATGGCTGAAATCATCTAGTCTTCTTCTATGTTGGTTGTGTTCGGTTAACATGTCAATTTAGCTCAGAGAAAAGTATTCTCATCCATCATATGTCTCAGTTTTCCATTATAATTTCAAACCTGAAATTAATCATAAAAGAATTGTGTCACATTCTGTCATATTTGGTGACTTGGTATTATTTTTATTATATGTAACTTTTCTTCCATTTCTCAAAAAAGAAGCAAGTTATTATATACCTAGTTTGGGTGTATTGTTTTTGTTTTGTTTTGTTTTTCTTTGTGCTACATGTCACTGTTCAGTTACTGCATTAAGGGTGTATCAGTCTTTTTACAGTCACCTGTTGTTTCTTTTCTATTTGTTTGGAATTTCCAAGTTGTCTTCCTGTCTGAATCAAGATTTCCTTACATGAGAAGAAGTTTTCAAGAAGCAGTCACACATATGTGTTTTTGTTCTACCTTATTCCAATAATTGTTGTTAATTCATAGCACGTTTTTGTAAACTTTGTTATAAATTATTTGTTTTGTGCAAGACACCTGTCACCCTCTAGATGTGTTCTGAAAATGCCTGAACTGTACCTACAATGATACTGAACATTTCAACAACAATTTCCGATCTTGTGCCCTGAAACCTTCAGTGTTAAGGTATAAAAGTTCTTCTGACTCAGTCAAAAGAAGTTACCTCCATGATTAGCAGGAAGTTTATATTATTTACTTTTGGTGCACATTAAATTGAATTGTGATTATCTTGAATACTGGAGCAATTTTGGGGGTTTTCTATTATGATTGGTGTCTTGTAGTACCTGATACATTCCGTCAAATGTGTTCTTTCCAAACCCGTGCCTATCTGTTTCTATGCAAGAAATTTTTCTATTGACCCTGACACTAGAAGATCTGACCCATTTCTATCTAATATTATTTTGTGCGAGCTTTGTTTTATCTTTCCCTCCCTTCTTTCTGATTTTAGGGTTTGTGTACAGGTATTGCAGTTGTAAAGAGATTCCATAAACATGATGTACTCATAAATATTTTTATCTCTACAAGTTTGATTTGTGATATTTAATTATTACCTTTAATCCTGACACTGGTGATTACGTCACTCTTCCCCGGCCCAACCTCTATGATATCACCGGCGCTGGGTAGGCAAGCCCGCCGGGCAGCTGTGTGAAGACAGCGGCCCGCCCACCCACAGGTAGGATGCAACCGAGATCGCGTGTACAGGGAGGGGACAGTCTTCAAGCCCAAATCCCCAAACGGTGGCGGCAGAAACACCCGTTCTTCGTGACCTAAACATATATAGACACATATGTTACGAAAATAACTGTTGCGTTGACAATATATTATTCGCAGGATACTCCCGGTAATGGCAGGTTGGGATTGGGAGGGGTAAGGAGGGGAGGGGCAGATGTCCAGGCTCCCTTGGGCAGCTCGCGATCACGACTCCTGTTTCCTTTGGCGTTAATGGCAAACTGCTTTATACGGTTGACTACATTCGATAGATTAATCGTCTAAAACCAGACATCAGCAGCAATAATATTAATTTTACTGAAGCTGTTCAAAGGGATCTCTTTTCATCCGCCTCTCACCACACCACAGCTGAAGACGAGGAGAGGTTACTGTGAGCTGTGAATCCCCGATCGCGATGACTTCCCTAAAGTAAAATGTGCAATCTGTTTGAAAAGAAAAAAGAGTATATTTACTTTGTGTTCTTAACACTTCGTTTAATTTTTTAATGCAGTCCAGACATAGTTGCTGAGATAGAGCCCTGCCTCGATCATGCTGAGATATGTTCTTTGATATTTTTACTTTTTGACCACGAAGAAACTGCTCTTCAACACATACAGCAGGAAATACAATCGACACGAAAGCATATACAAGTTCTTGATAGTGCTCTTTATAAGTAAGTTTTGAAATAGGTTAAAATTTAATGATGTGGAATGTTTGAAGTGTTCTTTATGTTAACTTGTCATTTGACTAGACCTGCACAAAAATTTCACGAAGGTGTGTTAGCAAAATGGGCTAGACACGCCCACAAAGACCATCACTGGCAGGAAAAATTATTAGAAGCACTGCTCATCATCAAAAATTATCAGGTCAGTAACTATTAATCTGAATAAATTGATTGGAAAATTTAGTTCACAACTGTTAAATACTATATGTATACCCCAGAAGCACCACTGCATTAAAGACGCTTCAGTATGCGCATAGAAATGCACATAAAAGGTGACACATTGGTAACGCATTGAATGTGCATTAAATGCTGAGACTTTGTCAATGTGTCACCTTTTATGTGCATTTGTGCGCGCACTGAAGCGCATTTAATGCGTTTGGCGCAGCTGGGGAAGTTGTGATTTTTCTCTATTCTGCACTTCATTTTCACTATCCAACACAAATTATCGCAGCTCATGATTTTTCTGCATATTTTAAACATGTTTTAACTGCTCATTGACTCTCTAGACCAAACCTTACTTCTTAAATTACTGTTATGTGGTTCATTCATAATTTCAGATCATCAGACTATTAGGCCAAAGCAAAGACAAGTTAGATTCAAAGTATTTGCCAAACCAAGTCAACACATCCCATCACGTAGATTTGGTACGGAAGACTCTTTTTTTGCTATTGGAAGATTTATCTAATGAACAATGGAATCAAATAATGATGAACTTGACTACAGTGGCAAGTAATAACCAGATATCTATTCCATCAACGTGTTTTGAAATTCGGGAGTGTTTTTTAGTGTTCCTAATGACGAGAAAACTTCTACAACTTAAAACTAAGGTATTTGCTTTGTATAAAGTGTATGTGGTTCAGGTGAGGGCTGACCTTAATACAACAAAATGTAACTTTTGAATTTGTTTTCACAGAAATGCAGTATGGATTTTGTAAACATCAGAAGTGCCTTAAAGTGTGCTAATCTCTATTACTGGTCTAACCAGCTAGAAAACCTGGAGAACCATATTAACAGGGTTGAAATGTACCATGAAGAAGACAATGCTAAAGAAAAGGACATAGGTGAAGATTAAGTTACGGTACCCCCTGTTGGGCTTTGCTTCCTAGTTTAGTTCGTTAAAATAGTTCTGATTCCAGACGGCTGCAACCTTCCTAGATTCAAACTTGACTCAAATCAAGGAACGATTCTCATATTCAATATGGAGGACTATCAGGCAGTACTGAGTTGTTTGATGACATTGTAAAACCCATCAGTATTTTTACAATTTTTCTCATTATCGTCATTATTTTTTTAGGTGATGGGAGATAGGCCGCTTACTAAAAGGGAAGCCTCTCAATTGGACTGTGAAAAGTTGGAGAGTACTTTCACTCTTTTAAGATTTAATGTGGTAAAAAAGAAAAATTGTCCTTCTGCGCAAGTGCTCAGTGAAATCCGAAATTCTTTAAAAGAGTTTTGTAAAAATGCTAAGCAAGAGAAAGTTGAGCGCTGCTTTATTGTTGCCATACTTGCTCATGGGGTAAAAGGCAAGTATACTCCTCATTGGTGTACTGTCTAATGGTAATTTTATTATCTATATTTTGATTGTTGTTTTCCCCAAACTTTAGATGGGCTTTTGGGAATAGATGGCAAATTAATCGAGTGGGAAGACATACGCAAGGAGATGCGGAGTGTTGACACTGTTGGTCTCCCTAGGGTGCTTGTAATTCAAGCTTGTAAAGGAAATTCCCAGGGTAATCTAAATTATATTATTTAAGTTCCACACATTTTTCTCGGTTTGTGAGAGACAATGTTTTAACAATATATTCATTCTCATTTGTTTAGTTGTTAAAGGAAAAGGGAAACTTGTAGTAGTAGAAGATGGTCCTTCTAGCGACAATAACACTTACCCTAGTAATTTGAGAGATCTATTTGAGTTCTCTTCCAGTGTGTCTGGATTTGCAGCATTCAGGAGCCCAACACGTGGTAGGTGTAAGAAAAACAAATTGTTATGGTTGTTCAATTTTTTTTATTTTTTTTTTGTATCAATGCAAAAATACAATTTTTATCCTTGTTCACTTTTTTTCAGGTTCTCTTTTTATCCAAAGCTTTTGTAAAAACATTCTTCTACATGGAAGGAAACATGAAGCAAAAGAATTGTTAACTTTGATTAACATTGACTGTGATAAATTAAATTTAGGTTGCAATGGAAAGTCTGTACAGTCAACTTGTGAACTGAAAGTTTCTTCAACTAAAGCGCTTTTCTTAGAAGTTCCAGACGAAAATATTCACAGGGCAAAAGAACTTGTGCGTGAATGGGATCAGCTAAATAAAAAGCAAGAACCCAAAGAAACAATAAAGACAGAAAGAAGTAAGCATTGGAGCAGTTTGCCTTTATTTGTTTAGTTATCGTTTATTTTGACTCTTTTATACCTACAGGTTGTTGTTCTGTAAAGAAAACAAAGCATGAAAGATCTGAAAATTGCAGAAGAAAGTGTGATCCCAATAAAGAGCAAGATGACCCATTCTTAAAAGAACTCATTAAAAAGTTAATGAGCATGGAAGAAAAGTAGGGTAGATAACTTTTCTCACAACTCCCTTACAAAATTAAGAATTGAGAAATTTATCCTTGTTAAGCAATATGTTAATTTTTAAAAGGTTTTTTTAATTTTACATTAGATCTGTAGATTTTATCTGTGTTGGGTTATGTATGTTGTTCTGTTGATTTGTATTATTAATTTTGAATTTGTAAATACTTTGCATACAGTTCTTCTACAATATCTTTGCAGTATCTGAGAAGTTACGAGTGCGCTGCGGCCAAGGTGTGCAGTATTGCAATCCATTGTTCAATCACAAATGCAAATGAAGGAGTTCAGAATTGGGATATTTATTTGCATACAATGAAGGTGTACTTAAAAATATTTGGATGTAAAAGAAAAAAGCAATGCAATTCAAAGAATATACACAGATCACAATTTTTTAGTAGGTTTTGATAAAAGACCCATAAAATCAGCTTTTTTCACATGGTTAAACTGAAAAGCCCCCTCAAACTGAATATCGATGTTAACGTTTTGCTTTCAACCAAATCATCAATATGGCAGCAGAAATAAATCAAAGCATCTTGAAATATACTTATTTCACACTCCTTCAGCTGAAACACAAGCTATAGTAGTAAAGTGGTATTGAACCAAATGTTAGAAGCTTTTATCTTAACTGTCAAATCAAATGTGACCAGAAACAAATTCATTATTACATTTTTTCTGAATTTTTCCGTACAAAGCTACATAAATAGTGATATAAAAGTTGATTTAAAAAAAATTGATTACACACTTCGGTCTTCTACAGAAGATAAATTTGTTCAAATACCGATTCAGATCTTAAGTCTGAATACAAAGTGTCAATGATTGCAGACTAACATCTGCAAGGAAAAATACAGAGAGCAGTTTAAAACTATGACAAACACTAATAAAATTATATATCTACTACTTTTAACTTGGAAGAACAAGAACAGTCGGTTTGGTAACTAAATTGAGACTATCTTGCTTCACTCACCAAACTGGACTAATTTGAAAAGAGCATAAGACTATTCCTCCAAACCGTTCACACATTCTGATGAACAATAAATTCACAATTCGATATAAATGCAGAGGTAAATGCCACATTCAAAAGGTGTGCATGATCACTTCCATATAATTATAAATGTGGCTGCCCCACATTCTCAGCATATTGCTGAACGTTCAGTAAAACCTTGTTGATAAACTAAAACTATTTAGAGAACATTTAATAAACCTCCAAAATCTTAAACTTTATCAGTTGTTTTGACTTTAATAATCATCACAGACAGACAAAATAATATGGGAAAGACTTCAAACCGACATAACAATGAGTACAATAAATGCTCCCTTGCTTAGTTAAATGTCTCTTGAGAACTGTAATAGTGTATAGTTTTCTAGCAAAGCTTGTTTGGTTAAATTTTAACAGAACAGAATGTCAGGAAAATACAAATATGTGCTACTAAATATACACACCAAAAGCAAAAATGTATGATGTCAAAGCTAGAAACAGAAGCATTAAAACAAAACTTACTACTTCTTGGGGACCATGCACGGACATGGGGATAAGCAGGAAAATTTATACATCATAGGCGCACTTTTAACTCTTCCATCCTCTGTTTAATTCGTTTTTGAAGTTCCTTGTACCTGTGCAGAAATAATTTTTTGTTGTATTTACAATTAACAAAACAACCATAAAATCTATATTACAAACAGAAAACCAAAAAGTTTAATAACCTTAGTTGAACAGCTTGAACTTGACGGTCTTCTTCTCTCTGATAACCCTCCAAGATTGCTGAGCATTCAGTGACAGACAGATTTAAAAACTGGGCCACTTCATTGCTCACTTCACATGTACTATGCCGATCAACAATAAAAATCCTGGCAACATCCTCATGAGGTCCAAGTAGAATTCGAGTTACTAATGGATATTCGTCCTCACGTAATCGTCTTTGTTCTGTATGTACAAGAAGTAGGAATAAAATATGCAGAAAGATCCACAACAGCACAGAGAGTTGACAAAAAACCCACCTCCGTTATCATAAACAACAAAGAGTGCAAAATTATCAGGCTTGCTATCCACTCTATATTTGTCCAGCATTAGATTTACTACTTCTTGCGTGGAAACCAGTGATGTTACCCAGACACTTGTGCTGCTACCGTGAGGAGGAGTAAAGAAACTTGTCTCCCTATCATAAAAATGGCCATTGATGGAGCATCTTCTCCTGAGTTTAGTTCGAGAGCGTCGTCGACCTGGGCGCCGTCGAATAGCAGCAGATCCAGTTTTGGCAGCTTTTCTTCGACACTGATTATCACTACCACCTATTAGCACAGAAAAAAATAAAATAAATGAAAATTAAATCTGTTTTAAGAGAGACAGTCCAAGGAAATAATTAAAGGGTAATTACAAATTATTGATTTAGTGATACACATACAAGAGTCACCCAATCCGCTGCTGCTACTACTACGGGCAGTTTCAGGAACACTGATGGAACGATCTAATGGGTGGTCATTCATATCTGATTCATCATCATCAGCATCATCATCAGCCCAGACGTCACCATCTCCATTGTAATCAGGGGGCATACTCTGAGATCTCGACATCCGTTTTTCAGATTCTAAATTTTCTTCAAAACATTTTGAGTAAGAATCAGTATTGTCATCATCATCATCAAATTTATTGGCTGATGGATTTAAGTGATTCTCAACTTTGGAAGAGTCAGCTTTCTCAATATTTTCTTCATTGTTAACTCCTTTCGGTATTGAATTGGAACTTCCAGGAGATTCATCATGGCTGTCCACAATATCGAGAGGCAACTCCGATGATTCAGTACTAGACTGAGCAGTAAGGGGAGCTCGCGGGGTGGATGATGAACTGGATTCAAAGGGTTCTGGAGAGGACACTGAATGAAGCCCAACAGGCATGGTCTGGTAAAGTTTTTCTCCATCTTCTACTCGTCTTTCCACCTGAAATACATCAATAATTCAGTCAACTACCCTTTACACCAAAGACAAAAATTGGTAACCATGCCAAATGGGGCGAAAAGATTCTGCACCAAACTACAGTACACAGACACAAAAAAAGTCAAAAAAGCACAAAGCCAATAAAAAAATCTTCCCTCCAAGAATAAGGTTGGCTGAGCCAAAGATAAGTCATACATGATGATGCAAGCAGAAGGAATAGGTAGGTAAAGTAGGGAAGAGATAGTGTCTACATACAGATTTTCTGCTTCTCAGTGAAAACAAAAGAAAGGGAAATACAAACAAATGGCAACAGAAAATAAACCAAAGCACAAGAACAGTCATCACCTGAAGGAGATCATCCAACTCATCCCAGTCAATATTTTTAAGGTCCAGTTTGGCAGGAAGAGTACTACTTTTATACTCAAACAATGCTGTACTTGGAGTTGAGTCAGATGATGCCTTAGAGGAATGCGTAGGAGAATCATGAGGAGAGCTCATGGGAGAACTCATTGGCGAACTGATAGGAGAACTTGTTGAGGAGCTGCTGCAGGATGCAGAGCTTCCTCCAACAGGAACAGCACCTTTGCTTTTGCCATTGTAATACCTCTGCAAGGGGCAGAGAGTAAGGAGTGAGGATCCAAAACCAATACCATGGGGAAGAAAAGATTTTCAAAGAATTAAGAAATGTAAAAGGAATAGAAAAAGATATATTTTAACACCAGTAATAGGATTTTCCAATAATTAGGAAATGTGAGGGGAATAGAAAAAGATATATTTTAACACCAGTAATAGGATTTTCCAATAATTAGGAAATGTGAGGGGAATAGAAAAAGATATCTTAAGCACCAGCATCAACCCAAACCAGTAAAAAACATGAAACCAATTTTTTAATTTATTTTAAAAATAAAAAAAAAAGTTAGGGACTTACATTTAAATTGGTACCATTGCTGTATCTATATGAATTACGCTTCCTTACAGTAACAACTGTTCTTTGATCATATTCTTCTTTCAGATGGATAACTCCTACAACTCCCCAGTAGATCCTTAAGGCACCCTCCAGAACCAACCGGCCATTAACCTGATAAGAGATATAAAACTTAGAACACCGGTATATATTATCTATACATACGTACAGACGTATACAGTACAAATGTACGTATGAAAGATACAATACACCCCAGTGAGAAATAATAGTTTAAAATGTCATTGAAAATGAAAAAATTTCATTAAGAATTTCTCTTTTGGATTATAATGTAAAACAAACCTCTCTGCAGTGAACTTTGCCACTTTTGCCTTCATAGTATTGATTAAATAGTTTCAGCTTTGATTCCAAATGGGACCTGAAAATAAAAATTCAGCAGTTAAATTGTGAAGAAGATAAAAAGGTTTGAGCAACGGTAATATTAAAAATACTTTGTCAAGGATAATTCACCTCTTTCTGTTAAAAAAAATTTCTTACCTTGGTAAATTTGGTATGCCTGTGCGGTTTTCAACTTTACCGAAACTTGTGTGAGACTCTACTCTGGTACCATGACCAAATAGTTGTGGCCCAAATAGAGCACCATAGCAAGGAACATGGCAATATGGTACACCTTTGTGCTGGAAAGAAGATATAATTAAGAAACACAAACTATGGCGAAGCAACAAAAAAATAGCAATGTTCTTCGCAATGGCTCTTTACTTCGGCATGCTGTCCAGGATTCAGTCTTTTACCACATTCTTCACATCTCAGACATTCTGGATGCCAGTCGTATCCTAATGACTGCTTCCTTTCAGCTGGAAGCAAAACATTTTAGTAAGATCAATCACAACTCCTGACATTGCTAGAAAACTCAAAGCTAGTGGACGAGAAGATCTTCAGAACAGACAGGAAATTGGCTAGGAATGGCCAGAGGCGCCACCGCACACGAAAAAAATAAAAACAAAATAACATGCAGTGCATGATCTGCACTTAATAAAAACGTACCGAAATAAACGGGTTTTCCACATTTATGACACTTCCACATTCTGACAATGACATATCAATCAATCAAAACAGAGGAAACGAAAGGCCGTATATGGAAAGCACTAAGAAAAAAAGAAATTCAAAATAATTTTTCGTAACCAGACTGCAGAATTTCTCCGTTTAACTCCAATGTTATTGTTGTTTTTACGTTTAACACAAAATTGTGAATGAAGTGTGCAAGTGTGTTACGAGCTTAGTACACACAAGGATAATGAAACTGAAAGTTTCAATTGATATGAATCTGAATCATAATCTCGGACAATCAACGCTGACAACAAAATATCTCAAAATGCCAGGTTCTTTTGAAGCCGGTAGGTTTTTTTTGAAAAATGTTACTTATCCGCATAATTTTGATGCGTTCTAATTTTTGAATGAAAGGTTTAAATTAAACTCATTTGTCTATTCTAATGCCACCGAAGATCGACAATTAGTTTGTGGGTTTGGCAACATCGAGCTGTAAAGGGTGTGCTTGTTGTCATTTTTAAAAGGCGTAATAGTTGTAGACGTAATGTGAAATTCCCGCCATCAGATCACTGGTTGTGCTGCACGTTCGGAATTTGGTGTATTTACTTTCAGTTTGTGTTATTTATATTCATTTCTTTCGTTAATGTTGTTGTTGTCGATAAGTCGTTTGCTAGCGCCACTCAAAGATTTGAACTGAATCATCGTTTTACGTCTTTGAGGCTATGGTTTGTCCGTACACTCATCTAGATAATCCATCTTTTTTGTGTGTATTATTATTATTTTAACAATATGTATTTGTGTGTGTGTGTTATGAATTGAAATTTTGAATGAATAATTGAATGAATGTGTTCTGCGCCACACCTGCACTACATTTTAAATGTGTTTTTATGTGATTACAGGTAATGCAATGAAGAGTGTGATAGATGACTACTTTGGACAGGGTCCAAAAAGCGACAAACGCGGTGTGGTTCCGTCTACCAAAGTGACACCTGAAAAGTCTGAGGAAAGTCACATTTCAGCAGGAACATTAAAGAGTACTGACGAGGATGTGGTAGTTAATGGAAAAGAAAACACTATGTCCAAAGACAAAGGCTGCAAAACTCCGGTGGGAAAATCCAAATCAGCGAGTTGCAATAATCCTTTGAAAGGTAGAAGAAGTCAGAAGAAAAAATGTGCTGCTACCCCCAAACACTTTCTCCAGGAAGACAATCTCGAGCAGAACACTGTATTAAATTGCGCTGAAACAAAGGATGGGATAGCCTCCCCCAAAAGTTTTGCTTTTAAAATCAGAATTAAGTCTAAAGAACAGTGTCTCAATGATGAAGATTTTAGCTCCCCAGAGCAAGCTGTAGTAGCATCTAATATGCATACTAAAGAACTGGGGAGTCCTCAGGGTACTATGTTCAAATATTTAGTACCCCAGAAGAATAGTTCAGATCCTGAAAAAGATTGTGGCTCTAGTAGTAAAGTTAAAGTGAACATTTCAGACTTTTTCAGTCCCGCCAAAGATAAAAAATCTGATGCTGATCATTTAAAGAAGAGTGGAGACAGTTTCATTAGCTCCAACAATGACATTGGAAAGGAAACAAAAAAGGCAGGAGACGAGAAGAAAGCTATTACTCCACCCTCAACATCAAAATTGGTCAAAAAGACAACCAAAAGATCCCTATCCATCTCTAAAAATCGGAAAAATACGAAAGAAACTAGTCCTTTACAGGTGAGTGATTCAAACATTACTGTCGCTTCTTCAGTTCAAAATGTTAAGTCAGCATCTAAACGGAAAACAAAGCCAACAAAGAAGTCTCTATCACTTGCCAAACATGAAGGAAAAGACGAAAAAAGTATTCTAGAAGGACCTGCAAAGGCGCAGCTGGAAGGGAAAGCATCAAGCGAATTAAATGTGTCCCAATCTGTGACTAATGCGTTTAAAAAAATCATGTCTAAAAGTAATGAAGTTAATGTAATAGATGTATCACAAGACTTACTGTCCAAGAAACGTAAGCGTGGGGTAGATGATGATGATTGGGATGGTAATCTAGGATGCCAACCTCTGAAAACTGTCAGAGAAGACTCACCTGTGAGAACAACATCAAAGTCTTGTACACTTAATCAGATAAGTTGTGATTCTGATGATAGTACGTCATCTATGTCAAAAGCCAAAAGTTTGAAGAACACATCTTTGAACTCAGGAAGTGGAAACAAAGAGGAGCAAAGTGTTGCTTCTGAATGTACCCTTAAAGTTGAAGAATCTAAACGGAACAGTTTAATGAGTTACTTCTCTAAAGTATCAAAAGAGGAAGTTTTATCAAAAGAAGAAAAGGTAGAAATGAAAGTGAAAGCCCTAATTCACTCACCTCCAACTACTCCTTCTAAAAAGGTGAAGAGGCGAAGTGTCAACAGTCTACCAGGGGGAGCTGCCTCTCTTGGCAAAAAGAAACCAAATTTTAAAAACAAATTGAAAGAAAGTATTAATGCTATTGATATTATTGACAATGATGAAGGGACACTCAGTGATATGGGTAAAGACAATCTCTCTCTACCAAAGGACAAAAAGCCATCAAGCCCCTCTTCTGTGAAACAGAAAAGTTTGATGCATAATGCTAACACCTCACCCAAAAAGTTTGTGCTAGGTCAATCAGTTGATTTATCCAATGGAAAGCATGGCATCTCTCCCAAAACAAAAAAGAAGTCTCTATCCAAGAACAGGGTGAAAAAGGAAGCAAAGAACAATGGCACAGGTTTGACTAAGTCTCAAAAGGTTACAAATGTTAAAGATGCTGATGAAGAATGTCTTGCTACCCCAATTGCCAACTTTTCTGAGGAGCCAGAGGCAGATGTTTCTAAAACTACCCCAAATATTCAAATACCCTGGACGTTAAAAGTATGCCTCACACCCCTACCACTTCCTACAACTCAAGGAACTTTGTTAGGTAAGTTGGAAAAGCCAATCCTGTGACACTTTGTAGTACGTATATTGATTAAAATTGTTTCTGATGATCTACTTGTCCTTTTACAGAAGAGGAGAGTGACAGTGATGAAATATTTTTATTCAGGCAGGATAAAAAAAGGAAAGTAGAGAAACAGCTAGAAACTGAAAGATTGAGCAGCAAAAATGCTGATCCAAACTCACCTAATGATAAATCTTCTTCACCAGATATAATTTTTGAAAAAGAGACAGGTATACATTGTAATGTATTTCAGTTCTAGGTGATTTCTTTTAGTGATTCTTGCTGTTTTGTTGTTAACTTTATAATGTGATTTCAGATGTAAAGATAGCGTCTCTATTTACTCGGAAGGCTGACACTCAGGCTCGTCAGCTTTTCTTACAGAGTGGAGTACCGGAACAGGTTAAACGTACTCTTGAAACTCAGCGCAGGTACTGCATTAACTGTCTCACATTGATTTTCTACTCATATTGTATGATTTTACTGAACATTCTCTGCATTCTCTCAAATTTGCAGTTTTGAGGAGCAAGAAGTAGAAATCTTTCCTAAGAAAAGTCATATTCAGCAAAAAGATGATGAGTGGACCTGGAGCCTACCCTTTGTCAGTATCCCTTTAACACTCAGCCATGAGGAAGAAATTCCTCTTCCATCATGCAAATTTTCACTTAAAAATTTTAATGGCGGCTATGACATTTTGGATGAAATTGATCCCATTATGTCAGCTAGCTGTAAAGGTCCAGGGATGAGAATAAGGTTTGGATTGCCTACGGATGTCGTTAGACCTATTCTCAGGATCATCAAGCAAAACTCACAAAATTTTGTGGTTGTCAATACATTTAAAACATTGAAGAAAAAGTTTAAAGAAGATGACTTTTTTAAAGCAGCAGCTCTGTCAGCTTTTTCTGATGTTCAAAAACCAAAGAGAAAGTCAGCTAACAGGTAGGACAATAGTTTTGAAATATACTTTTTCATTGCCCATTGTTTTTCCGTGTTTGTGTGATTTTGTTTTGGTTTTTTATCTTAGAAAATCATTAAATTCAAAACTGAATACATCTCTGCCAGTCTTTCGAGCCCATTTATGGACAGAGAAATACAAACCATCTACTGCAAATGAAATTGTTGGGAACAATGGAAGTGTCCAGCAACTTAAACGGTGGCTTGAAGCTTGGCGTAAAGCCAGTGAAGACTGTTGTAACCTCGCTAAACAACCAATCAAAGAGGATATGAAACGGAGGAAGAGGAAGAAAGGTAAATAAATATGATGGAAGCATTAGCACTCTGTTCTCATTCAATCTGTGATTTTTAATGATTTTGAGTTTTGAAATTTTCTGATACAAATTGATCTCTTTTTACAAACACAAATCTTCATGATTTTATTCTTTCAGACCTGCTCGATGATGATGACTTCTTAGTATCAGACAACAGCTCTGATGGGGTAAACAGTAATTTACCATTAAGTGTTGCTGTGCTATATGGCCCAAATGGCAATGGAAAAACAAGTACAGTATATGCCCTGGCCAAAGATCTTGGCTACAAAGTAAGGCTTGCATCAATCAGCTTGAGTTTGAACAGAAGTGATTAACCTTGAAAGAATAATGAACTAGAAGAATTTTTGGACTCTTACAGGTGTTGGAAGTTAATGCATCAGAAAAACGAAATGGAAAACTTGTACTTTCTAAACTAGCAGAGGCTACACAATCTCATCAAGTTCAACAAGGCAACTCAGCAGAGCAAGGGTTTGCTGCTCTGTTTGGCAAAAACCTAAATCCTGTTAAAAATAGTATGTTATCTAATGTGTATAATCATCTGTATTGATGTCTTGTTGTTCTATATTAATGTGTTGCTTCAAAGAGTCATTTTCAATATCTAATCTTGACCTTTCTCCCTTCAGAGAAATCAAACAAGGCATTGAAAAGTAATTCTGACTTGGATGAAGAAAAAGCCAAAAAAATGAGCCTTATTCTTTTCGAAGATGTATGAAAGATAACAACACAAATATTACCCATTGGATTAAAAAAATAAATAGCATTCTCTTTTTATGTTAATAATTCTGTTTCAGATTGACATAGTATTTGAAGAAGAGGATGAGGGGTTTCTATCAGCAGTGACAAACCTTGTGTCTATGTCAAAGCGCCCTGTCATACTCACTACCACAGATCCTGAGAGTCCTATGGTTAATCGTTTCATGAATAGCTCTAGTTTAATTCTTCACTTCTCTTGTCCTCCAAACTTAATATGTATGTATGAATTTCAAGATTCTATCTATCATGTTCTAAGTTCCATTCTCATTAATATACCTTCTTTTTTTCAGCTTCGTGGCTTCAAATTGTATCTGTTGTTGAAGGAATATATGTTGCACCTGAAACTGTACAAGACCTGGTTTATCTTTGCAAAGGAGATTTTCGGCGAGCACTCCTTCAAATGCAATTGTGGGTCATGTCTGGAGCTAATAATTTGTTGATGCCCTCTCTACCAACACTGAATCATAAAGCTAAAAAGGTTGAGAAGTATTAAATTAACATTAACACATTCAGTGTGGCACCCCATTTAGAGGGTAAACGCACAAAACTAGCAATGTGTGACCACATAGTGGCTGCACCACACTGAAGGTTTTAAGCTTCTGTTTGTACATTTTATCTTCAATATTATTGGCTTAAATACTTTTTAAAAATTTCAGAATTCAAAACATAATGATAGTGATGACATAAGTGACAATGATGATGAAAGTACTGAATTTTGCCCTCCTTCAATACCAGCAAACACAAATTGTATTGCTGCAATGCTGAGCAGAAGTTCTGTAAGAATCTGTTGTTTGTACTTGTTTTCCTATTTTAAATTTAATCTTATCTTAGATTTATTTATTTCCTCAGAGTACCGAAACTAATGCAGAAACAGCAATCACTTCTGTGGAAGTACCATATCCATTAGATCTTGGCTTGTTTTGGTGGAACCTACCCCCTATCTTGTCCTTAAAACAAGTTGAGCATGCTCAGCTTCCTGAGAAGCCTAAGGAAGATCTCTCGGCTCCAGGTTTGTTTTTAACAAACTTTCTGATCAAACAAAATGCTGTTTGTGTTAAAAATTTAATTGTTACAATTTTTTTTTCCCAAGGACATAGACGAATGCTGGATGATTCTTTCATTGCTAGCTTCTGTACAGATGATGGAAACACCACTGACAGTTATTGCACAAATGATGAGTCAGATGCTACATGTAGCCAAGCTACAAGTATAGGAGAATCTGGGGAGTCGCAAAATGACGAAAAGACACCTTGCAATGTTGATTTAACGAGTATCGAGCCAAAGTCATACAAAACGTGTTGTAGCCAAGAAGAGATGACTGCTATGCTTCACCAAATGCATATTATATCTACCATTGATGTAATTGCTGTTTCATGCCGGTTACTCAATGCTTCTGGTGTAGAACCTATTTCAAGGTCAGTGAATATCCTAATGAAACTGATTCTTGGTTTTGTTAACTGAATCTAAGAAATTAGGACTCAAGTTTCCTTTGTTTCGCATAACTTTCACACTTGCAGGTTCTCTCACCCTAATTTGAAAGACAGCCTGTCTTTAGTCAAGGTAGAGGTTGAAGGTCCTAGTTATTTAATGAACTCAACTGCTGAAGACATTTGTCACTGGTTAGGTGAACAAAGTTTGAATAATACTAAAAGTTCCTTTAAACTAGTAAATTTGGATAGGCCTGTGTGTTACAACAGTTGTCTACCCAACCAAGAGGAACATAGGTAAGCTAAACTTTTTCAATTTTTTAATGTCTATTTTGTATTTATTACTTCTTTAACACTTAAATATTCTGTATTTATTACTTCTTTAACACTTAAATATTCTGTATCAGGTGGAGAGATGCTCATTCTGAAACAGAGCAAGCAGCTCTCCATGCCCTACCCATGTGTATGAGACTGGAAAGCCGAGCCATTTCCACTGACTATTTGCCAGCTCTTAGAACATTCTGCCGCCTTGAAAGAAATCGTAGCATAATTAATACTAAGCGGCGTAATAGGTTTTATCATTATCTTAAGAGTTTAGGGGCTCACCTGTCAGAACTACAGCTTGAATTGCTTTGTCACACTATGTGTGATATGAGTTAAATGAAATTGCATTACTATTTTCACAAAAATCACTTATGTACTGTATGGTAAAGGTTGTCAAGTCAAATATTATTGCATATCATTATGATATCAATCTGTTTTATGTTTTGATGTGCTGTTTAAGGCCTTTTTAGTCAGACCAATTCATTTTTTTATGGAAGTTAGACCAAGTTGGTTTCCGGATAGTTACCAATTTGTTATATCCAAACATCCTTTGTTTCCTGGACTTAGTTATTTCAGAACTTACTAGATGTCAGTCACTAGTAATATAAAGGAAACAGAACTTTTATGCATATATTTTACTTCACAACGGACTAAGCGTTGAGGTATGATATTATGTGGGTAATATGTGATCTTCATTAAGGTTTCTATGTGTAGTTAGACTACCATGGTTATATTATTTAACTCTGTAGGGAGACTTCTAATAAATATTTAGTTTTATCTTATGTTTTGTTTATTTTATTACTTGATCACTCAGTGCCAAACTTACATTAATTAACTTAGAAATTTCTGTTCCCCAAAATTCACAGGTGAAAAAGACTCAACTAGATTCTCTTCTGCCTTGCTTTAGCTAGTTCAAATATTTTCTTCCACGCATCCCTTCTATCTATGTGTGAGGGTTCATGCTCTGAAGATAACGGTACAGGTTTGGGAACAGCCTGGATAAAATTACTGAAGGCAGCAAAGAGTTTAGGTACATATTTCTCAGAGTGAGAATTTGTTTCTACCAGTCTTTTGGGCTCCTCAGAAGAACCAGCAGAATTTGCAGAGGATTTCAAAGCTGCAGTCTCCTTGTTATTATTGTCATCTAAAGCACAACAAACTGAAAATGCACAGTCATCAACAGGGGGAAATGCAGTATGTCTATTAAACATAGTTTTGATATTCATACCTATTCCAACAATTTCACTAAAGTGTTCCTCAGGTACTTCAGCACTTTTCCTCAAAGCAGATTGGTTTTCAGAACAGACAGACACTGGGTCTCTGTCATGTATCTTTTTAGGGATTGGTGTTGTGAAGCTTTTAGTGATTTCCTTTACTTTGGTAGATAATTGAGAAGACCAAGAAGAATTCTGGGTCACTTTTGTGCATTTGTTTGAAGCTTCTTCACTATCACTGCACTGAAATGCTAACATATGTTTGGTAACAATGCTTCTTTGTTTCTTCCTCCCTTGGGTTTGGGTACTCTTCATAACAGGCCTTACAATCTTCAACTTACCCTTTCTTTGGGATTGCTTAAGACGACACTGCTTTAAATTACTTTTATTGTGCACCGTATTTCCAAAAGATGAATTATTCAACTGGTTGTTTGCAACTTTAGCTTTGAATAAAGATTCTGTCTTATCACTCATGAGCAAACCAAATGAGTTATCAGTACATGCATTTGAAGAGGTGTCACATTGTAGGTCCTCAGTAGATAAAAATGTATTAACTTCTGCATCAGATGACCAATTGTGTGCACTGCTATGCGCTCCATTGTTGTCATGAGCTTGATATTCAGATGCGTAACAAAGATGATTTAACAAGTCTTCAGAAGTGTTAAAATTGTCAATATTGTTTACAACTAAAATAGATTCTTTTATTAGGCTGCCAACATAAAAACTTTTGTCATAGCTTTCAGTTGGAGAGCCACTAGCTCTGTTTAAAGTTTCCAGGGAACTCACAGGAAATGCATCACTTTTAGTTGATACCCCATGCTCACTCTCTACTGTAGCACAATGGCTGTCGAGTGAAAATTGTTGATCACTTTCCCTATCTCTTTCATTCACAACAGCAGAAGATTGTCTGTTGCCTCTTCTTCTATGAGATGGTAATGGCAAAATAGGCTCTTCCAGATTTGATGTCTCCATATCGTCACTGATAGCTGAGTTTACATGACAATTTTTAGGTTTGCAATTAACCATTACATTAGTGCATGGTATGGTGACGCTACCCTCATTAGAGGATGGTTGCAAAATCTCCTTATCTATGGATGGTTCATTCTTTTTATCATTATCACCATTGTCAACTGACATTGGATGGCTTTCAAGGGAATTTCCTGCACCATTACCAATTTCAATCTCAACCGTAAAAGTGTCACACGCATTGTTGAGGATTTCCTCATGGGAAGATGATTGTAACTGTATTTCACTAGTTGCACTTAAAACTGCAAGTGGGTAACTGATAACTCTGTTTTCTTGACCATTTCCAAATACGCAATCAACTCTTGAATTAGGACAGGCTTTGTTAGGATTACTCACACTACAAGCAGATTGCAATAAGTATTCATTTGATAACTCATGTGATTCATTGCTTTTACACTCATTTGAAATTGGATGACAAACAAGGGAATTCCCTGCACCATTCCCAATATCAATCTCAGCCGTCAAAGAGTTGAAGCTTTTCTCATAAGTAGATGATTGTAATTGAGTTTCACAGGTTTCACTTACAACTGCAGGTGGTTGACTCACGACAAAAGTTTCTTGACCATTTCCAGATACACAATCAATCTTTGTATTCGAACAGATATTGTTAGAATTACTCACACTGGACGAAGATAGCAAAAACTCTTCGATTGAAGATTCATTTGTTTCATTGGCACTATGCTCATCAGATTTTGGATGATGTAGAATGGAATATCCTTTACATGTCACTGAATTGACACGTACATTGTTGTCGCCACTCTCAATAGAAGAAGTCTCCAAAATCTCATTATCAATGGATGACATCTGCAATTCTTTGCTGTCATATTTTTTGGAAATAAAGTGACTGCCAACTGTTTTCTCTGGAGTGTTAACAGATATACAAGCAGTGGCCTCACTAGGGAATGATTCCAAAATCTCATGATCAGGTAATGGCCTTGGAGTTTCATTTCTGGCAATTTCAATTAACTCTTCCTCACAAGGATCAGTTTCCCTACCCCATTCAACATTACAGTTGTTTGGAATCTTCTCTTCATTGTTTCTACGTTCCAAATATTTTCTGCTCAGAGGTGTAATGCATGAATATACAGCTGAAGAACTATTCCTAGAATTGCTGTCTGCCTCTATCTTTCCTATTTTTACATTAGCAACACCTACAGTAATCAAATCCACAATTTGGCCATCATCTGAAAGTTTTCCACAGTATTGTAACACAAACAGATTTCCTGATAACCTTATCAATAAGTTCCATGAAAATTACCTTGTTCATCTGATGCAGTATTCTCCTTGCTGACTGACTGTGTAAGTAAAAATGTGTCGGAAATACAGTAATACTTTTCTTCCTTTTTCCTACTAGCATTATTTTCACAAAACGGGTTTCTAAAACACGTCCTTCCTAATTTAAATAAGCTCATCTTCCCCCCAGCATCTGCAATTTAAAGCAAGACAACAGTGTTAAATCAGAAGCCAATAAAGAAATTGATCCTTTCAGGGCCCCAGCTAACTACATCTAAGTACCACTACTACTGCTAGGACTAAGAGGCATCAGAAAAATGTTTGCACTTCATTGGAAAACTCTCTCATCATGTTAACTAGAACCTTGACCGATCCAACTAAATAAGATAAAACAAAGCACTGACCATAATTCTGTCAAAAACACTTGCCTTACCTTTTAATGGCTATGATCGTGAGTTTTATTCTGGGCATAATAATGAAATCATAAAAACTGAATTCAGATACAAATTCAAAAATACAGCTCTAGTTATTTATTAAGTTAATTTATTAGAAGGTTAACACAAAATATTTCATAAATTTGCATCATATGCAGTTCATTTTTTAAATAAATTGCTGCTTAAGTAAAATTATTCAAAAGAAAAAAGAAAGCCCCGGTTACAAATTCTGAACAATTAATTACTCAAAATTAACATTGAAGTTGGACTTTTGTTTTCTTTTATTAAGGAAGAGAGGACTTAAGGTGTTATGTTTACAAGTAAAAATTAGTTTACTGATTTATAAATTAGATTAAGGCACCCTTCACTCTTTTACCATTCCCTCTTAACAGACTGCACACAAGTTACAGTTTACTATGAACTATCACAGATCATCATCGTCGGAGTCAAGGGCAGCTCGTCTTCTATCAAACTGAAAGGAAATGAAAATGAAAGAAATTATTGAGGAGAAAATACTTGAGACATTCAAGTAGGATTCTGACAAGACATGTCTTATTTACCTTCACTGTTGTACTTTTCTGAGACCCTACTCTCTCCAACAATCCAATTAGCTCCTCTTCTCCTAATTTTGAACGAAGCTGTCCAGATTGTGCCATTTGAAGAATCATATTTTCCACCATACGACCTTTCTCTGGCTTGCCAAGCATAAGAGTGTTTACTGGAATAAAAATACAATGAATTACAAAAGTTGTGGAACCTCATACCAGACAAGTTGGACAAATTAATCATGTTCCAGCAATCAGCGATCAAAGTGATACAACTATCATGACTGCTAGTTTGGGAATTCTCAAAGAACTCTACCATCTACAACAGGTCAAGCTACGCTACTCATCATAGCTGGAGAAAACAAGCTGGAGAGCACAATTGGTAGAGCACTTACATCTCGCTCTTGCTGATTGATCAAGAACTTGTGATAAGATTGAGTTTTTCATGTCATCAACTTCTCGTTTCCGCTCTTCTGCAACTTTTTGTTGATTTGGATTTCCTGGTTGGCCAGCAGGTCCACTCTGCAAAATTATAACATGGTAATCTACAGCAGTGCTTTCGACTTTTAAGCAGCTTCTGCTTCCCCTTAAGATTCGTCTGTCTGCCTACAGTAGTTTAAAATGACTAGGAGACATTTAGAATGGTGTATTATCATGTATATTAAATCCATAGTGTCTGTACCAATCATTCCACCAGGATATGTATGTTTATAAAGATTTATAACCTAAAATACTTTGTCAGACACCGGTGAAGGAAACTGGTTAGGGTCAACACAATATACGAACCCCATATTGAGACTGAAGCTGAGCAAGCCTCTGTGCACGAATTTCATCCAAATCAGAGTCCTCCATCATCAAAAGAATTTGTCGGAAATATCCAAATCAAAAATGAGCATCAGTTGATCCGATCAGTGCCCTCAGGAAACTGTCGTCCGGTCCGGTCCGGCGCCGTTCGGCGAGCCCGCGAGGCCTCCGCGATCGGCTCCCCCCGGCTCCGGGGGTAGCCAATCAGAACGCCAGATACGCTGTCACTGTCACGTGACACCCGTGAAACCGGAAGCGCGGCTTCAAAATACGCGGGCGGTTAGCCTCAAACTTGAGAAAAGCCTCAAAACTAACATGTGTGCAAACTTGCCTCAAAGCGTTTCCCCCCTTCCCCCGCAAATTTAGAATAAGAGAATGCAGCAAATTTTGTAAACAGTGGCAAGGAAAGGATGTTCAAGTAAACACGAGAGTATCAAAGTGTGGTTTAGAAAAGGTTCAGACAATAAATTTATTATGGGTAAAATATATAAATATAATTTTCAATTACCTCGGTAACATTTAGAATCCTATTTAAAAACCAGAAATTAATAAATAAACACGTTATGGTGTATTAAAATAAGAGAGAGCCGTCAGAAAAATTTCACGGACACCACTGTACTACTCAACAACAGGCAACTGACAAACACTTAACCACTACAACTATAATAAAATTTAACTCCACTGTTTCTTAATATCCTCACAGTGCAGGTACAGACACACAATTCTACAAAAAAAGGTTCCTGAGATGCCTCATGTATATAATAAAATCATTTACAATACATGAAGGAAGCATTTTTCAAACATTTTATAATGTTAAATCAGTTAAAAATATTTTTATCTTCTTTGTCGTCGGTTTTTGTTCTGAATTCTCAGTTGCTGATCAGGTCCCGAGTCTGCAATCGAAATCTAATTAAAATTCATCACATTGTAAGGTAAAAACAAGTACAGTATATCTATTGAAACTAGCACTCCATAAGCACGTTTTATTATGTACCCTCATCACTACTGGCTTCATCCTCTTCGTCCTCTGATGAAGATGCTTCCTTAGATCTTCTACCTCTGTTGCCTCTCCGTTGATTTATTCGTTTTTTCTTACCTATAGTTGAGCAAAAATAAATATAAGAGACCAATCAAGGCAAAATGCCATAATATACAAAGGATCCTGACATTCTTTAACAGTATAGCATAACAAATATAACAAATATGAGACTGTACCTCCAACACTACCTCGTTTTCCCTTCTTAGAGACAGCTCTGTTTTCTTTCTGGCTGCCCCCATCAACATCCATCTGACTTTCTCCAGCATCTTCAGTTCCCAAACCCCTCTTAAGAGCCTCATCAATTTTGGTTTGAAGTTCTTCAACAATTAGCTGAAACAGAACAGATTCCAAACAATCAAATACAAAGATGACAAAAATGTGAAAAAAAAGTAGTAAAGTTCCAAATTTATATGGTGGGAAAAGGTAGACTTGTTATTTACAGCAATCTCTGTTTTTGGCCCAGTAAACTAGAATTCCCCTTTAAGAGGAAAGATATCTAACCACCTAGATGCTAGGCAAGATGCTAGCCACACCAGATGAGCTATCATTAAACTCGCAGCATCCGACTTACACTCAAAATTTATTGAAGGACCGAAAAAAAAAAAACCCAACCGTCTCTTATGGATAGTGTTTACCAGTCAAGGCTTTCTAAATAGCCAATAGCCATCAATGTAGCTTTTATAGTTGATTGAGATACAAGTTCCAAAATTTCCCCTACTCATTCTTATTACCAGCGTACGAAGGAAACAAGACAATGATAAAGAAAGAGTACGAAAGAAAGTCAGTCTCATTACCTTTCTCTCCGGTTTGTTTGTTTTCAGAGCTTGAGCAATTATAGATTCAAAGGCCTCATACACCTTTTCTGTATTAAGTTTGTCAAAGTAGCATTGGAAGTTTTCTAACAAACGCCTCAAGCTGCGCTCAGAATATTGGAGTAAAGATAAACAAAAAGCAATGTCGCTCCACTGTCTTTCACTGGTAGATGCTCTGAAACGTTGACAAAGCTTATCAACTAAGCTTTCCATTTGTTTATCTTTCTGGATCAATGGCAGTAAGAATCTGAAATAGATAAAAGAGAGATAAAGAGCGTACTTAAGCCCTTATGAAATTAACCAGATGTGTGGCTTACTCTAAGATGCGATTAAAATTTTCTTCTGACACGTTCATGGTGGGATTAGACAATCTGGATATAATATCAGGTATAACATTGTACAAGGTATTTCCCTTTTTGGAAAGATCACGGAAGAATTCAGATGCCATGACTGTAATATGGGTTAAAAAAACAATTAATACACACCATAACAAGTAAACTAAGAAGAAATTATCAAACAGTAAAACACAAAGTGCTTTTGTACCAGATATTCTCTCCTCAGCATCCACAATACAAAGAGCCATATCTGAAATTTGTCCTCTCACTTTCACCATCTCATTTGTGATAAGATGTTTTAAAACTACAACAGCATCCAAACGAACTTGTGAGGATTTGTCTTGGAGCCTAAAAGCAAAAAAAATATGTATGAAAGAAAAAAAAAGAGTAATTTATAAGGGTAATTCTATGGTAAAGCATACGCAGACACAAACCTTGCATACAAGTGTTTAGTCCATGGTTCAATGAGATTTGGAAATCTGTCAGCTAGGTCACCAATAGCATAAACAAGCTTTGACCGTATTGGTGGTTCAGATGACTTCTCCATCATAGTGAAAACAAGTGGCAAATGTTCTTCACAAAATGTTGATGACACAAGCATCATCTTTGTAAGGGAAAGACAGGCAGTAGTGCGAAGTTGTGGATCAGTGTACAACTGAGGATTTGTGCAAACAGCAACAACAATGGGGCTTAAGGTCCCCAGAACAGTATGACCACTCAAGACTTCTGATTCGCAGACATGATTAATATACTCAGCTTCTGCATCATCTGCATTAATTTCTCCTAATTCAGCATCAGCTGCATCCTCTTTCTCTTTCTCCTTGCGTAAAGGAGTTTCAGATGCACGACTCAAACCTGATGTATTAAGGTTTGCTTGGCTTTTCCTCTTATCTTTGTTTTTACTCTTTTGCTTATCACCTCGTCGTTTTTCTGCTTCTAGTTCTCTGATTCTGTTTCTTCTTTTAAGTTCACGAAAGACTGTTCTATCAAGATGAACCCATTGTCTGAAAGCTATGTGTCCGATGAAAAATACAAGTCTTTCAACTAATTTATCAGGGGCTTGATTTGATTCCTTATTGGAATGCACAACACTATCAAATGTGGCTGCAGACACTTGTTTTGTTTGTCGCACAAATTCTTCCAACAGATTTGTGCAGGTCCTGTCTGGATGTTCTGACAGTTGATAAATGACATCAATGGCTTCTGAAGCCATTGGAAGGTAGAACTTATCATCGTACAAGTTGAATCCATCAATAAGCAAATCACGTAGATTCTTAAGTACTTCATCATCTTTCTCAAAACGAAATGGCTCTTCATTGGAAGCTACTAATGTTGTTTCAGGGACCAGTTTTAATAATGTTCTGCAAGTTTCCCGTGCCAGTCTATTATCCTTCCGGCCTCTTTCACCCAATCCAATAGATACTAAAACTTGGGTATTGGTTTTCAAGATGCTCGGTGATGCTCCCCCTACCATTCCTAAAAGAATGAGGGCAACTCTGCTATCATCCTCACTTGTATCAGGAAGTTTAAGAGAAAATCTTTCCCACAAAATTTGTATACAATCTTTATCCATATCTCCTGCTTTCACCCATTCACGTAAAAGTAACTCTAAAGCAGCTTGTTGGTCCTCATCGAGTGTTTTCAAAAGATTGCATAAATTTTTGACAATTTCTCCAGCACGACTTCGTCTAGAAGAAGAAAAAAAAGCAGATGTAAAACAGTAACTATGTATGTCTTTCTTTTTGGTAGCATTAGAAATACTTCCATTGCATAGTACCTACCCTTGAGCATGACTAGCTATATCTACATATAGTTGTCTGTAAGCAGCAGCAACACCCTCTTTGACAGATGTTTCAGTAGACCATACCAGCAAAAGCATGTTCTTCACACCTGTGAGAGCTCCTTTCAAACCAAACTGAAAAGCTGCAGTAAGAAATTCAAGCGTGTCCAAAATAACAGTCGGCTGTGCACTGAAGAGTAAATTGTTGATTATGCCAGTTGCAACTTCAAGCTGCTCCGAAAATGCAATGCAATCCTAAAATATATGGGAAACATCCAGATGGTTATTCATTTGAGCTTGTAAGTAAAAGAGCATTCATTATATAGTATTATTTTGTTTCAAATTCTGAGGGCACCTTGTAATACTGAGTAAGAGTTTGCTGTTTTAAAAGTTTGTCTTGAGCTTCTCTTTGTTCAGGGGTGAGATTATTTCTTTCTTCTTTTCTTTTACCATCTTCCGCACTTTCATCAAATTGCACAAATATTTTCCTCAGTAGATTGTGAAAATAATCAACTTGCCATTCAAGCTGCTTATTGCCCCTAAGCAATCCAAAATGAGGAATATTAGTACAGTACATGATGTTGAAATCAAATTGATTTAGAATGCACTCAATACTCAAATGTAAGTTCAGCCAACAAACAAACCTTTGCTTGCCTGTTTCTGCATGTTTTTCTGTGAGTTTAAGTAAATGAAAAGCTTCTAGATATTTTCCTCTTTCCAGGCAGCTGGATATTTGGGCAATGTTGTCCTCTAGTGAACTTGACAGTGCTTCTTCAGAAATTTCTGCATCTTTCCCCTTGTCTGACAGAGCTTCTTGCAAAACAACAATGATCTGAGGAGATATTTCATCCCAGAGTTTGGTGCGTGTTGGTGGTATGATGGTATTTACTTCCTTTTCACAGTAGGCTAAGGTCTCTTCCTCTCTATTAAGCCTTTCTTTCAATTCATCAATTTTAAGCTAAGTAGATAAAATTAAATGGTAAATGTACAATCTGTTAAAAAATAAAATACTCATGAAACAAATGATTGCAGACCTTATCTCCAAATGGATTACTCCGCAACAATGCCTGATAAAGTTGAACAGCATTACGAGTCACACTCCAACTTGTATCTGTCAATCGACAGACAGTATGCTTCAAGAGTTGGCTAAGGTAAGCTAGAGGAATAGCTTTCTCTTCGCATAGTTTTTGCCAAATCTTCAACACCTTCAAGCAAATATTCAATTTATAGTTGGATTATCAATCAAACAACAGAGACATGAAGTAAACACAGTACAAGAGAAGATTGTTCAGTCTATACCTTTCCTCTAACAGATGCATTTGTGTCAATGAGGTGCTCCTCTAGATGATCCAAGAATGTATCTCTTATTTCTTTTTGCTCTTCAGACAAATGCTCTTGAGTTAGAGATCCAGAAACAACTTCACCAATGACACCAAGCACACAGTTCCTCATCAAGTAAGACTGAAAGTTAAAATCGGAAAAACAGTATTGAAGATAGATAATCAAGACAATTTTATAGATTAAAGAATTAAATAAAAATGAAATATTACACACTTCATTTTCTAGTTCAGGGAGAAGCAAAGGCATTGATGGAAGTATGATATCAGGCCCTTCCTTTGCTATTTCAATGAGGAAATGTGAACAAGCCTTGGGTGAGCTATTTTCAAAGGCAGAATCAGCCTGGGTAATTTCTCGGATAACTTCCCTAACAAAATTACGACACTGATAATCCCGGACAAATTTTACAGCACCTTGTGCTAAAGTTTCCGGTAAATGCTCATAGATTTTCATCAGCTAAAACAAAGTTAGATACATAGATAGAAATGTAAAAGGAGAATATTAGACAAAATAACAACTATAGCTTTAACATGGAAACTTTATCAAATACCTGAACCATCTTTACGGTACAACTAAGACCATGACCATACTTTTGAATAAGAGTCCCAAGTATATCAAAAGTAGTATGTTTCATGTAAGACAGCCGTGCCTGAGAAACTTGAGGGTCCTCCAATGTTTTGTAGCAAATGTTAGCAGCCAAACTTCAAACAGAGAAACTTTTTTATTTCTTAATCTGTTGTGTTAAAGAAGATGCACAGCCAAATAAAATTGTTTCAACTTACTTGACAAAGTCTTCATCCGCAACTGGGGGATCCCACAACTTTGGTAAAGGAAGATGTATAAAATCATGTAGCTTAATCAGAGATTCATTCCTCTTATTGTCCCAATCAAAATCAGCAAAGTTCTTGATTGCTTTTTTTCGGCTCTAGAATCATGATTCAAATTCAAATTGACAGAAAACAAGAAAATTTTTAAAAGAAAAATGAAGTTATGTTCAAGCATACCTTTGCATCAACAGCTAACTCTTTGTCAGTTTTAGCATTAAATCTTTCCTCTAAAGATCGTAGAACTTCATACAATAAAAACAAATACATTTTAACAGCATTGAGAAGGTTTTGTCGTAGGTGACAGTCCATTTGTTCCATAAGACCAGGAAGAGTTTGGCACATTCCTGAAATTCCTAGAAAAAAATATATCTCAAAAGTAAATTTTGGATACAAATACGATTTGCTTCATAAATTTTTGGGAGATACAGCACTAACAATATAGAGCCTCTATGGTTTACCTTTTAGTACTATGTTGTGAGCAGTTAAAATGTATTTTGTATCTAAGTCTTTGGCATGGTGCACAACAGAAAACATGGGATCAAAATGATTTAAAATAAATCGGAATCCATCATCAGAAAGTGCTGCACTGCAATCTGAACAGTTTAAACAATGCCACTTAGAAAATAAGATTGGTTTGAATTACTTAGTTTTGTAAAAATCACAAAGTTAATATTACCTGCAAGCCTCCTTGGCACCCGATCACAGGGTATAAGATCTCGTACATAGTATTGCCCTGAGCTATCTGCCAACAACAAGTCTTCCTTGTTGAATGGGATGAAAAAGACTGGAGTTGTCATCTTGGAACCGTAGCACTGGGGATGTTGAAGAAAAGTACACTTTACCCGTACAGCTTTGAAGATTCACACATCACTTCAAGTACACTGGCGGATTCCGCCCAATTTTAATTTTTAATGAGTTTAAAAATAACAAACTACATGAGTCACATATCCAGGGAACTTTGCAAGTTTTACATCAGAATACTTACACTAGAAGATAAAATTGGTTATGTTATTCACTTTGGGTAGGTACAACAAACATTAATAAATCGGGTTTTACATAGAATATTTGATTTACAAACGAGACAATCAGCAAATAAAATTGAGATTAGATTGGAAAAAAAATATGGAAGGGAGACGAGAAATAAACCATATAAAAGAAGCAACAAACTGGGTTCACCATTGTTTACAAGAAGTGTTTGCATATTCACCAGCCAAACATATTTTTCGGAGGTGACATGAATTCTGATTTGTTGCAATCGTTGGATTTAGCAGAATCTCACCTTTAAAATTTCCTAAACAAATAAATCAAATAAACAACACACAACATCTCTAAATTAAAACTTGATCAGTCAAGACGAAATCAAACTCTCATAACGCATAACGCCTTTTCCCGCCGCTAGTGCGCTTGGTGTCGGTCGATAGGTCGCTTGCACTTCGAGAGAGTCGAGGTGGGGGCGGGGGTGGAGGGGTGAGGTGACGGTGACGGGGGTGAGTAGCAGACAAACAGAAACAGTCGGCTGCACAGTACATCTGTTTGAGTTGCGTGGGTGCAAAAGATTGCCGTTTTGCTAATCTGCCGGCGTTTAACAACAGTGTCAAGAATGACCTTGAAGACAGGTTGTCATCGTTTGATGTACACTCTCACGCACCAGTCAAGTATGCTAGGCTTTCGGTCACGAGGGCATTTACTCCTGAGTAGGTTAGGTAATCTGGATTCCAAAACAAGTAGCACGTCTTGCTCTTGGTTCTCCACCGGTTCCGCTCTCAACATGCGGCTTGTACAGTTCACCGATCTCCAAGGTGGTCCGCAGAAGTTGGGTGTTCAACCTCAGCAAGATGGTGAAATAACTGACATAAGCAGTGGAAGTGGCAAGATCCCTAATGACCTGATCAAGTTAATTCAAGGTGGACCTGAACTTTGGGCGGAGGCAGAGAAGTAAGTTGCCAGTTAAAGCACATCTTCCTGTCGTAATTTTATTGTGTAAGACCATGCATGAACCCTTAATTTCCTCTACTCCATTGTAAATGTATTCGTATATTAAGAAGACTTCTTCTGATTCAGAGCTGCAGCCAAATCGAGTATCAAAGCTCAGGCTAAAGATGTCAAGTTATTAGCTCCTTTGACAGCACCTGGCAAGGTAATCTGTGTCGGACTGAACTACCGATGCCATTGTAATGAACAGCACATCGAACCTCCACATGAACCTATGTTCTTCTCCAAGTTTGCCAGCTGCATTGTAGGACCAACCGATAATGTTGTTTTGCCTACAGTCTCTACTGTATGTAATGTACTGGTCGAATTAATTCTGTATCAAAATCAGCTCATTGCTAAGAACTGTGATAATTATTTCAGAAAGTTGACTGGGAAGTAGAAATGGTCGTGGTGATTGGGAAGCAGTGTAGAAATCTGAAGCCAGAAAACACAATGGAAAATGTGTTTGGATATACTATTGCTCAGGTACCTTTTATGTATGAAATGAAGTAGTATTAAAAATACATCTGACCAGTCACTTGTTGCCATTCTATTCTGCTAAGTTGAGTACGATGCATCTAGCTAAAATAATAAATGTATGTGTATTTTACCAACAGGATATATCTGCACGTGATTGGCAAAAGGGTCGTAATGGTGGCCAGTGGCTACTTGGAAAGAGCATGGACACATTTTGCCCATTGGGCCCAGCTGTAGTTACAGCTGGAGATTTCCCCAAGGGACCTCATGTACTTCCTCTATCATGCTCAATAAATGGAGTCAAAAAACAAGACAGTAATACAGATCAACTAATTCACCAAGTTGACTACATTATCTCTCATCTTTCACAGTGAGTTTCTTATGTAATTAGCTTGCTGTTTAAAATGTAACCACTTTACCAAATATTTGTTAATTGTACCCTGGGAATTATTCACTCTATTAAATAGTAAACTGACAATTTTGCTGTCTTCTGTTTCAGCTTATTTGCACTTCTACCAGGTGACATAATTCTCACGGGAACTCCAGCTGGTGTTGGGGTATTTAGAAACCCTAGAGAATTTCTGAAGGTAAGCTTTCAGCTTAATGTGAATTGATTATTCAATCAGTTTTCTGTTGAATTATAATGTGAAACATTAATTCATCTTAATAACAAGTCTTTTAAAAAATACTTTTATGTTGCAGCCTGGAGATGTTATTGACAGTGAAATTGTCGGAATTGGAAAAATGCGCAATCCAGTAGTTGCCCCTCAGTGAATTGCAATTTAGTGCTCAAACATATATATTCATTATCTCACTGGAGCTGTGAATGAGCTTTTGTTGTACAAATTGCGTTTAGAAGGGATGTTGTTGACTGTACCTAAAACACTTAATGTTAAGTTTTGCATCAAAGCATAGTTTGATGATAGTTAAATTTCTTTTAGATTGTTGTGCGCATTTTAAAATTGCAACTGTCGGTTTATGTTTGTTTTGTTTTTTTTGTGTTGAATAATAATGAACATACCTGTTAAGAATTTCAAGAAAATTTAGTTCTACTTAATTGTTTAAAAAATTGGTCATGGTATTTCAGGCAAGAGGATACATACTATTTAGAACCAAAGGTGACTTTCAAATTACTTATCATTAAGTATGGAACAATATTAATACTATTGCTAATGACCAAATAACCGTATTTGCTGCAAATCTCATTGAATGGACAGATCAAGGCAGTTGTGTGTATGCGAATGATAGTGGCTTTATTATAACATTTAACACACATTCTCTCCATATGTGAATTGTTGAGCACAATAGTTGCTGTTGCTGGACACATCAAGGAACTTTTATTATTTTTCGCTTTGTTTTAACATCAGTTTTCTTCAAAGATTTAGAAAGATCAGGTCTCAGGCCATATTGTTTACAGTGGTATGTGACTGGCATGATCCCAGTCTGCAATGATCAATTAATATAATGCCAATTTCATGTAAATTCGTCAAAACATATATCAAATTTGGGGCCACATTTTCACCAAATTGACAGTTTTTTGATTGATCATTGCAGACGGGGGATATGTAGCAGAATTCAGGGTCAGGTTATGCTTTTGGAAATGTGTTGACTTTTCACGAGTTTATACAAAATAGCTGAGGGCGCGGGCCAGTTAAAGCGAGTGGGACAGCGGATGACAGTAATTATGAACCGGACGCCGGATGTTTATGTAGGATGACGCACGTTAGATATTCGTTATCCATACCGACCGAGTCCTGAAAGTATCAATTTTAGACTAGCACCCCCGCATTTTTTCGGAAAATGTGTGTTACTAGAAACCCCCGTCCCGGTCGACTGACTCCTCACAAAAACATTCAAGTCCTACGACGTCACGTCTAGGGTGGGCCGACTGCCCCACACAGCTGCTTGGCGGGCTAGTCTACCCCGCGCTTTGCAGGCGCTATCTCTAGCGTATTGTTCTCTTGCCGTCTCTTGCCCAGGAGACTTGTGAGTGGACGAAACCGAAAGACGCCGTACGTTACCTAGCATCGCTTCGGTTAGGCTGTGGTAAAAAAACAAAACAAAAAAAAAAACACTCGGTGACTCTTGCTATGGCCCTACCACTTGCTAAACTTTTAAAGGTTGTGGAGGAATATGTTAAGTATACTTTTTGAGGAGTTGGGTAGTAAATGCATAACTAGCTTCTTTTTATTTTGCCGGTATGTAGGTAGAGTTTGAGACAGTGTGTTCTTATTGTAGGAATGGTTGTGTATTGATGAAGAAACTACTGAAGAGTCTGATCTGTGTCTAGAATCTTAGATTTGCCGGGCTGATGGTTGATTTGTAAACCAAGAAGCAGTATTGTTTTGCTTTCAGCCTTTTGTATGTGGGGCAATAATATGACCAGTATGAGTAATTCAGAAATATTGCAGTTTTACACCAGTTGACTTTTATTTTTTGAAATAGCTATTCATAACTTTGTCAGTTTTTGAATGTTTGCTGTTATAACCATGTCCATTGTGAACTGTGTTAAAGATTTCTTTTATTAAATAAGTATTGGTGTTGATATGAAATGACACCTTGTAGTGTGCCTTTAGTTTGGTTAACTTTGACTATATTTTTAAAGTTTATTTTCTTTCAATGATATATGATAAAGTTAAGATTATCGTTTTCTCTGCTTTTGTCCTGTTACAGACTGATCAAATCATGTCTGACGTGTACGAGTACTTTTTAAAATTCCATCATTGTGATACATGAAGACTGGTTTATTAAAACCATGCCTGTACTTATTTTTATTCTTTGGCTGGGCGTTGCCCCTGTCACGCCGTCACACACACATCATAGCCGCAGCAGGTTTTCAATTCACCCTTGTGAGACCAAACTATGTCTTCCACATTAAAAATAAAGATTTATCGATATCCGACGTGACACTCTGTACTTGTACCTGTCCGCCACCTGCACGCGGGCGCCGCTGCCGCACTGGACTGGCTGCAGGCGCGCTGGGCGCTGCACTCCAGACCACCGCCACCACCGCCACTGCTACCTTGCCCTTCCGACTAGTTTCAGTTTCCCTCCGCTCCGCCGATCATGGCCCCAGTCATCCGTGTCGGGAAGGTCCTTTTGGGTACAGTCTACCCCAAGCGTCCGTGTTGGCGCTCTTTACTCGCGTGTTCTCTTGATTCAAATCACCCAATTATAATTCTGGGGTGCCTCTGTAGTGTCCTCTAAACAACACAAAAAAAACACCAAACATTCACAAAGCTGGGGTTCACGAGGGCGGGCTTACTTACTGTCTTCCTGAACTGTACTAACCCCACCCTTGTCTTGGAGCGTCCATCCCCCCACCAACGTGCGGGAAGCAAGATGCACCAGTGGCCACCGAATTGTTTCCGGTCTTCCCCGGCCCTTCGCGGTATAAAGTCGGCCGTTGGGCCCAGGGTGGTCAGACGGCGATCGTGTGGCCCCATCGCAACTTGCAGACTACAGAGCAGCCTAGTTCACCATGCTGACTCTCATAGTAAGCGACAGAGCCTCGCCTGCAGAAACGGGTCCCGGGTGTCGCCAACACGAGACTGACCTTCTTCCTGTGCAGGTGGCAGTTGTTTTGGCGGTGGCAGGGTCTTCCCTTGGTGCGACAGTGGGCGTCGGCGTGGTCCCGGGGACCCTCACGGCCGGCTCGGCAGCCCTCGGCCGGAGGGCGGTGGGCGTCGGCGTCGTCCCCGGGGGCACGACGGTGGTCAGCGGCGGCAACCCGGTCATCGCTCCGGGTGTAGGCGTCACGACGGTGATCAAGCCGGACCGCATTCCTGTAAGTAACCAGGACTCACAGCATGTGACGGGTTCAAATAGCCTCCGTCTATTTGTCTAAATTTCCCGCTCGTTTAGGTGATTCCGCAGTATGCTCGCACGTTTGGCTCCTTCTCCGGCGGACTGGCGGGTGTCGCGGGCGTCGCAGGTGGCGTCTCGGGCTACATCCGCGACCAGTGGGAGAACCGGGACGGGTCGTTCGTCCGCGGCGGCTACTCGCTCGTGGACGCGGACGGCTCTCTGGTCGTCGTCGAGTACTCGTCCGACCCCATCAACGGCTTCCGCGTCATCGTCAAGCGCAGCGGCTTCCCCGACTACTTCCTCGACTCGATCGTCCTGGGTGGCGCGCTGCCTGGCGGCTACCTCCCGCCCTTCTACAGCGACTTCGGCTTGGACTACAGCGACGACTACTACGGCTACGACTACGACTACTACTACGGCGGCCTCGGTTACGACTACGATCTGGACTATGTGCCGTCCTACTACAGCAGCCTAGACTACGACACGTACGCGCCGACCTACCTGGACACCTACGACTACGACATTGACCTGGACCTCGACTACCGACGCCGTCGGCGTGCGGCCCCAGCAGCCTCCTCGTCGTCATCGTCGTGATCCTGACTCGTTCGCTCGGTGAATCGGAACCCGAGCACAGATAAGCTTCTTCCTCGGGCGCGGGCTCTGGGAAGCAGGCTGCGCCTGCCCGTGCGCCGGAGGGACGCCCTCATGGACGCCACACCCTCCCCGTCAGTGGAGGCAGCCTAGGAAGCCACCAAGCCACCCTGCTGCCTTGCCTGGCCGCCGACCAGGAACTAACTTATTATCGTTGCCATTCGGACTGCCAGCTGGAGAGGACAGCACCACGGGCTGGCCGCTGAGCTGACACGGGCGGACTGCCAAGACGGCCAAGACGACCACGTCGTCGCCGTCGCCACCTCGACTGAGAGCGGTAGAGCAGCTGGGCTGCTGACCGCCACCGTCCTCATTGTATCTTTATTTAATCTCTATCCTACCTGTAAGAAAGCTTTTGCATTATTTATTTCGCTCATCGAAACTTGTGCGTGTTGATGTTGATGTCGCATGACGTGTTCCATAACTCAATAAACACCATGCCTTGTGGAAGTGACGGCCTGTACCATTTCACTTTTCTCGGGACCGGGGCGCGTCGTTGTCTTCGACTGCCCAACATTATGCCCATACCCTCTCTGCATGCCTGACCCCGGTCTGCACGGCGCCTCGCGGCTCCTAGGCTCAGGAGGGAGGAGGGCCCCGTAGCTATGCCTGCATTTGCCTGCATTTGGCTGCCTTTGGCTGCCTCTGGCCCGCCGTGGGTCCCAACTAATGGCCCTTGATGATAGGGCTGTAAAGCGGCGGGGCGGCGTGAGTGCGTCTGGGCAACGGCCGGCAGGCCGGGTGGCGCCCGGCAGAAGCTCAATGAAACAGGGTGGCCACTCACCGGGAATTTCCGGGAATCCGGGAATAAGCCGGGAATTTTTAGCGCCGGGAAAAAACCGGGAATAAGCCGGGAATTTAGTCGGCAACCGGGAAAATATTGTACTTTGGCGTTAGAAGCCATGGCCGATTGCCGGCGTATGATTGCGAGCTATGAAAAACGCCCTTTTAGACGCGTTTTGGTGCTCATTCCACCCCTTGAATGAAAAATTTCGCTCGCTTCGCTCGCATTAACTCTTCTCTGTCAGTCCCTGAATGCAGATGGTGTGAAATAGGGTAAAAACGCTATGAGCGTTTTAGAGCGCCTAGTAGTGGCTTAAGACTTAGGATCACGAAAAATTTCGCGCTCGCTCCGCTCGCGAATGTTTTCTTTCCCTTTTTTGTGTGTCTATTCGTTCCAAACGAAATTTTGTCTTTGCTGTATTGGTGAAATTTCGTGTATTCATGGCAATTGCCTAAAGTTGACTTAGTTCAGCTCTACATCAGAGTCTTAACTTCCGGTGAAAAAACGAAAGCGCTTTTTGACGTGCAATCAAAGGTACGTTTCTATGGGTATGTGATAAGAAGCGCTCTAAGCCTTCAAACTGGATCGTATTCATACTTTCTCAATAATGGGTATTTTTATAACAACGCTTCAAAAGCTCTGTTTTAGGCCGGGGAAAAACCGGGAATAAGCCAGGAATTCTGATAGGTACCGGGAGGTGGCCACCCTGATGAAAACACGAAACTAAAACCCGGACGCACACGCGAGATCAGCCCAGGCTCAGCGAGCGGCCCAGGCGGGAGCCGGGCCCACCAGCCGAGCACGGCGCGACGGGTAACAGGAAGGAAACACGCCCCGTCTCCACCCCTCGTTCAACAGTCGCTCTGTCGCGGGGGAGTTGGAGCGGCTCGATCTGTACGTCTTGACTGTCTCTGTCAAACCGGACAGGAAAAAAAATAACAAAAAAACAACTTAGCGCCCTCTACTATGTCTTGATCCAGCCCGAACCGCCAACCCTGAGCTAACAGCCTTCGAAATCGCCTTGAAAGTACGCCCACCATTCGCCGATACGATCCTGCCAAAGTTGGCAAGCTCCCAGAGCGCCTGGTAGGTAGGCAACATCTTGCCTTCAGCGCATGCGTGTGCTGCAGAGTTGCCTACCCTGGGTTTCGCAGGCGTCCAGCTCCCAATGTTTGCCGAATGAACACGAGGAAGACGGACGTTCTCTCTGGACGTCCCCTTTAGCTCGCCTGTCCAGCGGAGCATGGGCCCAACTGTGTACTGCGTTGCCTACCCGTCAGGCGCTTCTTCAAATGTTTTGAAAAACATAACACATATTTTATTCGTGAATACACATTCGTTCCGAAGCATTTCTCCGGTCGACACCCCCTTCCCTTACGAACCCACCACTTACCTCGTCGCGTCCGGCGTGTGGTGGAGCGTACTGGCGCGTCCTGGCGGTGCTGGCAGGCCCGGGCCGCGGCGGGATGGTAATGTCGACCTTTCGCTGGTGGGTCTAGTGGCATTGTTGCGCGGGGCACCTCGTGATTATTTCATAATTAGCGCCAAGCGACGCAGGCAAGGATTTCCGGGCAGACTCCCCCCTTCTTTCCCTTCCTCCCCTCACCCCTTTTTATTCATCTGCCGTTGGGTGGGAGGAAGGTCCAGCCCCACCAGCCACTACCACCACGCCCGTCTTGTCCCGACAGGTCCCGCCCCCTCCGTTTCCCGCCCCGCCCCTGCCCACAACGCCCCGCCACGCCCCACCCCGCACCATACAACTCAGAGGGGCTAGCCTGTCGTTGACTCTTGCAAAATAATTCGCTTTCCTCGTCGGCCAAATGCGGCGCCGCAAAGCGAGTTGAGGCGAGGTGGCTTGTCGCGGGCAATCGCGCCGCCAGGGACCTGTCCGCACAACAACGGGGGTGCGAGTGAGAGAAAGGCAGAGAAGGGGGGTCACAAAGCGCGCGCGAGACAGAGAGAGAGAGGAGAGGAGACGCCTAAAGTTCGGCGGGTGGCTGCATCATTAGTCGCTGGGATGGCAGCCACGGCCGCCACCACGACTTCTTAACCAGCTCCTCCTCAGCCTCGGCACGCGAGGTTCGGCGGCGGCGGGGGGTTTATCTGCAGGCATATCTGTCATGGTTAAAAACAAAACGAAAAACAACGACAACTACCTGTATGTGCCGGGTGGTGCCCGTCCCGCCGTCCCGGCCGGCCGGTGGTGCGGTACAGGTAGCGGCTCGGGCTGATCGACCCGCTCATCCATCACCCTGTTGTAATCTTTGCCAATCACAACTTCGCGCAGGTCGCCCGTCCCGTCCCGTCGCCTGTCTCGAGTGCGCCCCGTGGTGCGGCGACGGTGACCGTCCGGACGCGTGTCTTTTTTCATGTCAAAATAAAGCTCACTATGATCCGAACCTAGGCAACTGCCCGAGCACCTGCCGCACCCACCCGGTGCTTAAGGACGGCTTAAGGAATAGTCAATCGTGTTTGTTTGGGTGAGAACTGTGACGTTTACGACCGAGCCGGCCCGCTGGTTGTGGCCGGCCGGATCACAAAAGTTTTAACAGCACGATGCCTCGTCTGCTACGGAGTCATTAGAGCCCCTATGAGGAAGTAAGTTGTGGAAGAAGTGATGGTGTGTCAGGCCCGCGGTCCAGCCCGCCACCCCGGCGGGGGCACTCTTCGAGGGGGCTCCCGTGGTGGCCACGCCCAAATCTCAAAAATAATTTCGGCAGTCTCTTTTCATTGTCCTCTCGTTTTCGCTTACCGTCCAACGACCGCCCCTGAATATTTTTTTTTTTTGAGCTGATGCAACTCAGGGCGCTGATTTCACCATGCGCGGAGCGGCCAGTCTGCCCCCTCCCCCAACACACACGCACGCACACACACACACACACACACACAGCCCTGAATGACTTTCCAGACTGAGGAGTAGGGTGGAGACGAGGACGAGATCGATAGCGTGTGATTTTTTTTATCAGGCAAAAGTAAGTGGGGCTCGTGGAGTTCTTTTTAATCCCTTTCCCCTCCTCCGCCTCCACCGCTGCACAGCCCGGGTGGTGCCGGGACGAGCCGGATAGGCGCGGTTACGCTACGGTTATGCCTGTCTCAAACTCCCTTGCACGATTGCTTTGTAGCTTACAAAGCATTTGCTTTGCCAGCTTACTACTTGCTACTGTTTTGTAATACAAAGCAAATCCTTTACATGATAAAGCTGTCAAATGCCCCACGAGCCTAGTATTGTAGGGATTCAACAGTGGTTTTGGGTTGGCACCTATTCAACATATGACATTTCCCGACGTAATAAACGATAATAAATACGCAGTTGCACACCGAGGCCCGGGCGAACTTTCGCTCTGCCTGGCCCCACGTTTTGTTTGCTTTGCCTCTCCTCTGGTTACAAACCGTTCGGGTGCGTAGTAAATCCAGCGCCTTTCGTCCCTTACGTCCCAAATAATTGGGCACGGCTGGACCTGCAGCCGCCCGGAGCGAAGGGCGGGCAGGGAAATGTAAGGCTCCATCCCCGAGGGCGTCCGGCAGCACGGCCTGCACTACGGCGCGCAGCGGCAGGCGCAGCGCGCAGCGGGTGCGACAAGGACACGCGCAATTACTGAGGAGCGCCCGGCCCGGCCCACGGGCACCGGTCAAATTATGGCCAAATGCCACCATAAAGTGAGCGCCCTGCTACCCGGGCCTCGCTGCTGCTGCTGTTGCAGCCAATTAGAGGCCTATCCGCTGAGCGGAGAGCGTCGCTCATTGGTCGGTTGCGCTGATGTGAGCGGGAGGGTATACACCCAGTGTAAGTGAGAATCCACACTTTCAACATTATCAGTTTAATGAATGTCAAGTGCTTTGATTTGGACCAAGCCGTGCGCACTCACAAGATTTGAACGTATTTCGATTCCGATGATTTTGCTCCGAATCAGCGTAGGCCTACTTTTCTGCAGTTTTTGTTTTTCTACAACTACAAACAACACAATCTTGGAATGATACGGCCGTTATCGGCGTATCGCGGCGTGTATAGCGTGCAGTTGTGTGCGAGTAGCGCCCCGCGGGGCCTCGGCTCTTAATCCACAACCCGTAATCCACTGCCCGGTCTTTTCGCCTCTTGTAAGGTGATCAGGCCCCGCGCTAACGCCGCCGTTAACCTAACAATGCGTGTGTAGCGGCGGCACGGGCCACAGGCCGCAGGCCGCAGGCCGCGCCCGGGATCCGCTAATATCGCTTGTATTTTTATGAGCCGTTACTAAACACGGCCACTTTGTGAAAAGAAAGAATTGGCAAAGGCAGCCTCCTGGTGGGGTGGAAGGGAAGAGTGAGGGGCAACGCCTGCTCTGTGTTCATGGTAGCAGCAGCACCGCAGGGGCAGCGCCGGGCTGCGCAGCAGGTGCGGAGGGGCGTACATTTATATCATCACAATATGTATGAATGTATATGGCTGTTCCAGGTAAAGCGCAGGCCGGCGCCGCGGTGACCCGCGAGCTCGCTGCCGGGGATTATTCGCCTCGTTGTATCGGAGTGGCGCAAGGCGAGGGCCGGGGGCCGGGCCGGGGGCCGGGCCGGGCAGGGAGCTGGGTAGCACTCAGTGGCGGGTTAGTGCGGTAAACTACAGCTTCTCCCTCATCGGAGATGGAGTATGTCGCCAGCCCAGTCCATAGCACCGCCGTTGTTTCCCAAGGAC